GAATACACCTGCCTTCCCTCTCAAAAGTTCTACCCCACTCTTCCATTATTATTTATGGTTGATAACACTCTTCCCCCAAAAAGCTAAGAGCAATGCACATCACAATAATCTTGTAAAGTAGGTTATGTCGCAAGAATATGCAGCCCAAGGTTACTGGGTAGACTCTGTGGCTGGGAAGCAATTTAAATCTGTTGTTACCTCAGTTTGAGGTCATGGGTTCAATACTGTATAAACACCATACTGGCTTTCATATATCTCTATGAAAGAGGCTAGCCCGTCCTATTACAGTTCAAGAAGTCGCTGCTTCTCCTCCACCCCACCCCCCCCGCCCCCAATCTCTGGCAGAGAGGAAAGGCCTATAATTTCCTGACACAAAAAACAGAGCTCCTGCCAATGGCAAGTCCATTCAATTTGGTGTAAATCTGCTTATATGCAAAGGATATGCTATTCCAGTGTTGCAAGAGAGTTGGCAATCCTTTTTGGATGAACCCACACATTGTTCTCTGTACTCCACCCTCCCCAAAACTTCCGTCTAAGGCCCTTGCCCCTCTTTTTCTTTTGAAATCTGTTGCATGCAGACACAAAATAACAAACACAGAACAGGCCTGCAAATGATTTCCGATTGGCCAAACTCAGCTGGGACCATTTACTCGCTTAATGGTGCGATAAGGGTCACATCAAATAAAGCAACAGCACACTTTCTACCAGGCCTTGGACAGGAACACTTCCTTCTTTCAACTACTACCTCCTCCCTTTTCTGTGCATTCTGCCAGGGCTGGAAAATTGCAGCTTGTCCTAAAGGCAGTTCTCTAAAATGTAAACAAAGCCAGCCAACCTTAATTCCTCAAATGCAGGTGTTTTTCCAACAAAAATTGTACACATGGGTTGGCAAGTACTCTAGCCAATGCTTACATTTAAGATGATCCAAAGGGGTGGAGGGACTGAAGTTCAGAGAGACAAAGAGAGAAACCTACAGAGAGCTATGGTTTGCAAAGTTTCTCTTTTCATGAACGTCTTCCACATAGGTTGCTGAGCTGAGTAGCCTCTGTGCACCTGCCACATAATTTTGGTGCATGGCAGGATTTCAGGCTTATGTTGTAGGGTGCTGATTTGGTTCATAGAGGGCACTGGCCTGGTCTGCTAGACCTGGCTGTCATCTTGCACAGAGTGTGTCCCAGAACCCCACCCCTCTGCTGCATCTGGTGGGCCAGCTGCCCTTCAGGACAAGTTGCATCCATTGCTGTCTCTCCCTCTCTCTTTTTTTTTTACTTCCCAAGGAATTCAAGTCCCTAAAACAGTTTTAAAACTCAGAGGGCCAGTGGGCTAGTTTTCCAGTCAGCGCTCTTGTGCCTTTAACATTTAACATGGAGCAGACTTCCTGGCATTGATAGTAGTTTAAGTGTTGGGGGAAGCTTCTCCGTACTATGTCCCCAGTATGTCAGGAAGCTCCTTGAGGCTGCAATTCTGAGTGCACTTGCTAGGGGTGGTCATGTCCTATTGTGCTGGCTACTCAGTAGTGAGACTTACAACTGAGTAAAGACATGTAAAGGAATGTGCTCTAAAGATCAAGGTCACACCAGAAACAATTGTTTAGCAACCCTGGGAGAGCCAAACTGTGGTCATCCAAGGTGTTTTGGGGCTACAGTACATTTCCGAGCACAATTCAAAGTGTTGGTGCTGACCTTTAAAGCTCTAAACAGCCTCGGTATACCCGACGGAGTATCTCCACCCCCATCCTTCTCCCCGGACACTGAGGTCCAGCTCCAAGGGCCGTCTGGTGGTTCCCTCACTGTGAGAAGGCAAGTTAAAGGGAACCAGGCAGAGGGCCTTCTCGGTAGTGGCACCCGCCCTGTGGAATGCCCTCCCACCAGATGTCAAAGATAAGAACTACCAGACTTTTAGAAGACATCTGAAGGCAGCTCTGTTTAGGGAAGCTTTTAATGTTTAACAGACCACTGTATTTTAATATTTTGTTGGAAGCCACCCAGAGTGGCTGGGGAAACCCAGCCAGATGGGCGGGGTATAAATTATTATTATTATTATTATCATCCTTGACCATTGGTCATTTTTACTGGGATGGTGATCATGGGAGGTCAAGAGTAGGGAATGCTATGTCAGTACATTGTCACAATGTGTAATGTGGTGCTTCCAACCTACTCAGGACCTTATGCCAGCCCAGTATGGCATTGCCCTTCCGTTTATGAAAAGGAACTACAAAACATCTCATTCTTGGACAGCTGCAGACTTAAAGCTACACCAGCTGTGGAGAACCTTTGGCCCTCCAGACGTTGCCAAACTACATTTCCTATCATCCCAGGCTATTGGCTGTGCTGCTAGGGCTGATGGGAACTGTGGTTGGAGGGAGTCATAGTTCAGCAACATCTGGAGGGCCAAAGATTCCCTGCTCCTGTGTTCCACTTTTCACTCATCTGCTCAGAAATGCACATTTCCAAAAGTAATGGATTAGCCCTACCTGTGGATGAATTCTGGAGAAAGGCGATGTTTATGTTGCATAATATATGTCAGCGCCAGGAAGAAGCGTTTACGGTTTGGATCACCAAGCTGAGGGCAGGAGGAGTTTATTAGTAGTAGTACTAGTATACCTCCCTATACCTGCAGGTCTCGGGACGGTTACATTAAATCACAATATATAAACACAAAATACATAATAAAAATAGAACAAAAACAACTTAATAACCCTGCTCCCCAACACATTGGATGTCTATCAGGCAAAGGCCTGGTTGAAGAAGAACATTTTTGCCTGGTGCCTCAAGGTGCATAATGAAGGAAAGTATACAGTGGTACCGCGGGTTAAGAACTTAATTCATTCTGGAGGTCCGTTCTTAACCTGAAACTGTTCTTAACCTGAGGTACCACTTTAGCTAATGGAGCCTCCCGCTGCTGCTGTGCCACCGCTGCATGATTTCTATTCTCATCTTGAAGCAAAGTTCTTAACCCGAGGTAATATTTCAGGGTTAGCAGTCTGTAACCTGAAACGTATGTAACCTGAAGCGTATGTAACCTGAGGTACCACTGTATAAGGAAAGAAGCTAACTTCTGAGCAGGGTCATGTCCACTGACCTGACAGAGGTACCCTTCCTAATCCCACATGCGTGGACCATGGCAGTGGTGAAAAGTGCCCTTCTTTTTAACTTTTATTTCCCTCAGGATTCTGGTATTGCATTCGGGATCCGGGACTTGGCTGAACTCTGGAGGTCTGGCCGCAGACCTCACAGCAACGTCCCCCCACCCTCTCGATTCTATCCATCCATCGCGTAGGGAACCCACCCGCACTCTTTCTTTCCTCCGCGCTCTTTTCTCTCTTTCTCTCTGGCACGAGGCTTTTTTATTTTACTTTTTTCCAGGGGGCTGGAATCTCGCTCAGGCGGGGAATTTCCTTCCTCCCATATAGAGTTTATGGGCTTGTTTTTCTCCCCCAGTCCCTCGGCCTCGGTGTCCTGCAGCGCGGCGGCCTCCTGCCTGCAGCCTGCCTGGCTCTCGCCGGCCAGCTGGCTGGCCCGGCCGCTGCGCGAAATCACGCACAAACTGGCCGCGGAGCGGTTGATGTGGCAAACTCAGTCAGGAGGGAAACTGAGCGGGAAAAGGACTCCCTGTTGCAGCTGCCGACTGCCAGGTGTTTGCAAAAGTCGCCCGGGCGGTAGCTCTGCGCATGTGCACTGGGCCGATGCCTTCGCAGAGGCGGGAACGTCTCATTCAGACGACGCAGCGGAGGGAGAAAAGGGCGAGGGAGTAACGCGTGAAGACTGTTCTCCCCTTCATTAGGGTCTGGACGTGCCTTCGCGGATTTTGGCTTTCTTACAACGTACAGCTTGCCCGTTCCCTAAAGCCCTCGGACGGTCCTGAATTGGATTTGATATCGTGGGGAAAGAGTGTGGGTATATTTAGTTGTGGAATCACAGAATTGTGGAGCTGGAAGGGACCCCCGAGGGTCATCTAGTCCAACCCCCTGCAATGCAGGAATCTCAACTAAAGCAGCCATGGCGGGGGCCATCCAACCTCTGCTTAAAAACCTCCAAGGAAGGAGAGTCCACCACCACATAGGAATATTTGTAAATATATTTGAGCCACCAAAAATTAATGGGCGTTGCTATTCAAATGGCGTGTGTACAACACATCTTCTGATCGATTATGTAGGGCGGGGCTTACCTGCTCCCCCCCCCCCCCAGTGTTTTATTGAAATTGGTACCCCAGGTCCATCACCTTGTGAGGGAGTCCTTTCCGCTGTCAAACAGCTCTTACTGTCAGAAAGTGCTTCCTGATGTTTAGTTGGACTCTCCTCTCTTGCAGCTTGAGCCATTGGTGTGGGTCCGATCCTCTGGAGCAGGAGAAAACAAGCTTGCACCACCTTCCATGTGGCAGCCCTTCAGATATTTGAAGATGGCTATCACATCTCTTCTCCATCTCCTCCTAGCCAAACTAAACATCTCTGCACACGTTCCAGCTTGTCAATATCCTTCTTAAACTCTGGTGCCAAGAGCTGGACCCAGTATTCCAGATGTGGTCTGACCAAGGCAGAATAGAGCAGGACTTATGACTTCCCTTGATCAGGACACTCTATATTTCAAATTGCAGTACCTGGAGTTCTTTTGATATTTGAAGATGGCTATTGCTATCATATCTCCTCTCAAGTCTTCTCTGTTCCAGGCAAAGCATTGCCTGGAACTCCCTCAGTCATTGTTTTCTCATAAGGCTTGAGGTCTTGGCTATACAGCTGCAAATAAAACATTTTAAGTGTGTCGTAAAGTGCAATATATGCATGTGGCACTAGATGGCGATAGAGAGCTATAGCAAATTCAATATATTTTTTTCAAAACTTTTTTTTAAAAGCATTTTCACAGTGTTTTTTTATATGCGTGTAGATTCCACCTTGGTTTCCAGACCCTTGGTTATCTTGATTATCCTCTTCTGCACACATTACAGCTTGTCAATATCCTTCTTAAATTGTGGTTCCCAGAACTGGACACGGTATTCCAGGTGTGGTCTGACCGAGGCAGAACATTAAGATTAATTGAAGATTAAGGAGAGACATGATTGCAGGTATGAATTATCTGAAAGTTTGTGAGGCAGAAGATGGAGCAGACTAAATAAGTGGAAATTGCAGGGAAATGGGTTTTGGTTCAATAGCAGGAGGATCTAGATACTACATGTAGCAGGGCTGTTCCACAGTGAAGCAGAATGTCTCGGGATGTGAGGTGGTAGAGAGATGGAGGTGTGTAAGCTTTATGTTCTTTGTGGCTTTATTCTGTATTTTATGCTGTGAACTGTCCTGAGAACTTCAGGTGAAGGTTGCTATATAAATTTAATCAGTCATCATCATCATCATCATCATCTTGGCCCAGTAGCAAAATAGCAACCAGTGCAGGTCTCTGAGCAAAGATGTTGTGTGCTGTCAGGGTAGTCCCAGAACTTTTACTTTATGCCAGGCCTGAGCCTTGGAAGTTATGAAATAATAGAAAGGTGTGGCTCTCAGCACAGCCTGAGATTCTTTGCCTACCCAGTGATTGGTATTCAGAATCAGCACCCACATAAGCTTGGATTGAGAGAAAGACTTTCCAAGTCAGAGGCTAGGACTTGCAAACAGACTTTAGCCCCAGAACGTCTCATTTTATGAATTAAGTACTGGAAATGCCTTGCTTAATAAGGTCAGGCATGTGATCAACAGAGAAGGGCCCAGAAGGAGCTGGTGTTAATGTATAAACCAGGATTTCTCAGGCAGTAACAGAAAGAGGCCAGAGCTTGTGGGGGAGCCAGCTTGCATTCCTAGGCAGCAGAAGAAAAATTAGATCAACAGAGATCTGGGCTTGCTGGCCTCGGCCCACCCGCCTTTGCTCTCTTCCCTTTTCATTGCCTCTTGGTTGGCCAGTTTTAATTATTGCACTCTCCATATTTTAGGCTTTGAGTCCTCTCCGATGCTCTGATTGATTAGTTCTAGCCTTGAAGCCCAAACATGCTAAACAGCAAGGATTTTATAGGAGCTGTGTCAGGTTGGTGGCTTGAAGAAAACCACTTTTTCTCAAGGCTGAAGCCTGTCCCTGCAAAATCAATAATGGACCCCAAGGGAGAGAGGAGAGCAACGGAGGGTGGGTGGGTCTAGGGCAAATGAGCCCAAATCTCTGCTGATCTAATTTCTGATTTGCTTTGCTGGGATGTGGCATATGTGTGTGGAAAGCTTTAGATGCATATGTCACCTCTAAACTATTCTCTGTACATAGTTTGCAGGGATCTGCGTATGCCATGAATGTTGAAAATGCTAAAATACACCATCTGACTTGGAATCAACAAACCTGAGCAGGCCAAACAGGAAAGTGCATAAATGAGATTTGGTTTGGAGAGGTAAGAGCGTTTTCACACCTGACACTGGAAATGCCTTCGAGCTCATTTGCTCTTTGTAGCTTTGTGTATGGATGGAAAGTGGGAGCAATTTGCTTCTAAGTAGATTGTGCAATGCATATGAAATTCAAATCGCCCTTAAAAAAGCTTGGACTTTGGGTTCTAGTCCAAGTTGTGAGATGGGAAGGTATCCTAATCTGGAAGCAAGGGAAATCCTGGATGTACTTCTAGGCAGTGCTTTTTTCCTAGAAAAATAGGTGCCGGTACCCACCATGAAGTTGTTACAGTAAGTGCCACACTTTTTAACAACAAAAAGAGGTGCTGGTACTGAGTACTCTTGAGTACCCCCTGAAAAAAGCACTGCTTCAAGGTACAGTAATGAGCAAATTTTAGTGATTTTAAAAAGAATGACGCACAGTGTACAAAAACTCTTAAATTCTGTTCTCAAGGCTCAGGTGTCCCTGTTCTGATACAGTGGTACCTCAGGTTACATACGCTTCAGGTTACACATGCTTCAGGTTACACACTCCATTAACCCAGAAATAGTACCTAGGGTTAAGAACTTTGCTTCAGGATGAGAACAGAAATCGTGCTCCAGCAGCGCGGCGGCAGTGGGAGGCCCCATTAGCTAAAGTGGTGCTTCAGGTTAAGAACAGTTTCAGGTTAAGTACAGACCTCTGGAACGAATTAAATACTTAACCTGAGGTACCACTGTATTACATTAAGACACAATTGATGTTTGAGTGCTTCTGTTTCCTATTCCATCAGTTACTTCCACAATCTCTTCATGACCAGATTTGACATAGAGTACATATGCAGGTGGCGCTGTGGTCTAAACCACAGAGGCTAGGGCTTGCTGATGAGAAGGTTGGCGGTTCGAATCCCCGCAATGGGGTGAGCTCCCATTGCTCGGTCCCAGCTCCTGCAAACCTAGCAGCTTGAAAGCACATCAAAATGCAAGTAGATAAATAGGTACCGCTCTGGCGGAAAGGTAAATGGCGTTTCCGTGCTCTACTCTGGTTTGCCAGAAGCGGCTTAATCATGCTGGCCTCATGACCCGGAAGCTGTCTGTGGACAAATGCCGGCTCCCTCAGCCAATAAAGTGAGATGAGCGCCGCAACCCCAGAGTCATCCGCGACTGGACTTAACAGTCAGGGGTCCCTTTACCTTTACCTTACATATGCGATAGAGAGCTGTGATCAGTTCTGGCTCCCTGAAAAGTAGTCCTGTTTTCAAACTTTTGTTTATCGCTTCCACACAAACAGGATATGACAAATCTGGTCTCACAGATTATGCAGACTAATAAACTGTGTCAGTACCTGCCTGGCAGAAGTGGCAAAAATTAATTTTCCAGACATGTTAAAGGGAAAACTTCTGTTCCTGTTCTCTGAATTTTAAAAATATGAACTTTAATATGGACTTTCCCCAGCCAGTATTGTGCAGTAACAGAAAAGTTATTTCTTCTTGTAACTAAAGTGGTAGTTTATAACTACAAATTTCTACTTGGCGTAGTTTCTCAGCTAAGCTTAACTGTGTACAGTATTGTTATTTCATGTCATGGTGGTGTTAGAGATTATTGAGTGCAGGAATGTACTCAAGAATTAATGTCTGCTAGTGGGTTTCAGGGTGCTGGAATGTAATGAAGGATGAACTGCTGTGTTTTGGGGAGACGTGGGCCATAGTAACAATTTCCAGAATGTTTTAACTTCCAGTCTGTTGCTGCAAAACAAGTCTTGTGGGCACTTTAAAGAGTAACAGATTTATTGTATCATAAGCTTATTTTTTATTATAAATATACAAAACGTCCATAAAAATATCACAAATGCACCACGTATAAACATTACCGATAAGAGTCTTGGGTTGCATAAGCTTTCACGGACTAAATAGCATGGTCACTCGTCCATGAAAGCTTATGCTACAATAAATCTGGTGCCACAAGAGTCTTTGTGGTTTTGGAATACGGGTTGTAGAATGGAGCTATTTCAGGTTTCAGAAAGAATCTGTTTTTAGCCTTGTTGGGCTGAGCACTTAAATGTGGCATCCTAAAGCATGGATACCAGTTAACTAGAATAGTGCAAAAACACCACCACAGTTTCTGCCACTCACTGATCATTCGCAGAGCACATGGCCTAATATCTAACCAACATTAAGCACTGTTGCCCCCATTGGTTTCAGTGGGAGAGATACAAATAAGCATGCACTGAATGCTTCTATTTAAATAAATGTGACTTGGAAGTTCCAAACTGTGGCTGCGTTTCAAGCTTACATACTTCAGCCATATTTGACAGTGCTTTGGTTCTGGATGGGGCTGTGCAACCTAAAAGCATGCACCTCTTTCGACTTCTGCTCTAATCCTATGCCCACTTACCAGGGAGTAAGCCCAATTGAACTCAAAGAGACAAACTACTGAGCAGACTTGTCTAGAATTGTACTGTAATTGAGCAGGATCCACATAGGCACAGCATCTCAAGTATTTGCCTTCATCCTAGCTGAAGGACATAGAGCCACATGGGTGAAACCAGCACAAGGGAATATTCTGTGGGAGAACTCTTAGACCCGCCTCTTGAAATTCCTCCGTCAAAGGATTCACATCAATTGTCTGTGAAACTGTTTCACCTGCGTTATCTCTGCATGAGTTTTTTCTGTGCCTAAATGCCTCTAAGCATGATGGTTCCCACAACAAAACTTTCCAGGCGGTTTCTTTACATGCTGATGCATGTGGGATGCTTTTTCTTTCTACTCTTCTGAGAGAAGAGAGGCAAGATCTGTCTGTCTCCTATCTCTGTTCCTTCATCACCACACAGAGACACTAATAATCATGGAGCAGGAATGCATTGTGCAGACAGAGGAGGCCAGCATACACAACTGTGGTCTGCATAACAAGATTTAGTGTACTAATATGTTTTTTGAATTGTACATAAATAGAATGACCTGTCCCTGAAGACTCAGAGAAGATCTGCAACAGGATCTGGAATACTTTGAAATCGTACATTGTTTAATTCAGGGGTTGGAGGCTAGTGAGGCTTTCCCCCCCTCCCTCCCCCAAGGGGGAACTGGCAGAGCTGGCTGAAGTGGGACATGGTTTAAAGGAAACTGCTGGGCTGGATCAGTCTGATTATCCATCTCGCCCAAATCCTGTCTCTAGGGCCTTGTACTCATGAACTGTAGCAGTTAGTGGTAAGGAAACACAACATCTGTGCTATTTGAAGTTGGGGAAGGCTGACCATGTAAATGCTCAAGCCTGCTTATTACAGTGATGTAATAACTTATCTTGTTTCACAGCAGCTAACCACTAGCATGCAATAAAATCAACAGGTCACCTAGATACTTACTTGGGAGTAACCCCCATTGAACTAAAAAATCATTCTGTCTGCAAGTCTGTTTAGAAATGGAAACATACAATGGCCGCTGAACCTTACACTATACACCTTTGTTGCCTATAGGTAAAGGGACCCCTGAACATTAGGTCCAGTCGTGACTGACTCTGGGGTTGCGGCACTCATCTCGCTTTATTGGCCGAGGGAGCCAGTGTACAGCTTCTGGGTCATGTGGCCAGCATGACTAAGCTGCTTCTGGCAAACCAGAGCAGTGCACAGAAACACCGTTTAGCTTCCCGCCGGAGCGGTACCTATTTATCTACTTGCACTTTGATGTGCTACCGAACTGCTAGGTTGGCAGGAGCAGGGACCATGCAACGGGAGCTCACTCCGTCGCAGAGATTTGAACCATCAACCTTCTGATCTGCAAGTCCTAGGCTCTGTGGTTTCACCCACAGCACCACCCGTGTCCCTTGTTGCCTATAAGACTCTGTTAAATTGTTGCCTATGGGCAGCACCAGATTTAGTGTGGTGCTGGTAGCTCTCCCGCACAGGGGGCGCAAGGTGCAAAATTGAGAAGATCCATTTGGGGGCACCAAACTTTGGACAGGGCGCCATATTACAGAAGATCAACAAGGTCCGCTCTGCTATGGGGGTACATGAAGTTATCTGTGTGAATGAGGATATAGATCAAGAGAAGAAAGTGAGCAATAAACAAACATGGAGGAAATGGGAAGTTCCTATATCCTTGCCATCTTCAACATATTGTGCATATTATTATTATTATTTAAATGACGACGACAAACATGCACATCAGCATGGGGAAGTTTGTGATGCTGTCATGTCATTTGGCTATGCTACATAGGTTATGCTACGTTTGGACTAATCAGCACACAGGTCTGTTATATGGGGAGAGATTCTCCAAGCTCCACCTATCTATCTTTAGTTGGTCCTGACCTTGGCTGTGTGTTTTGCTCAGAGAAGAAGACAGGAGACTTTCACAGCGGAACAGGCTACCCACAGCCTAAACAACACACAGGAGCCAAGACAGCAAGAGGGTGAAGTGCTGGGAAGTGTTTACATCTCCCTGCTCCAGAGAGTATGACCTCACTAACTATTCTAAATACGGGAGATAAGGCACTGCTGCTGTTGCTCACCCTTCTCTCAGATAAAATAAGCCGGTGCATGAGGCACCAGAGCATTTCTTGAAGGGTACAGGAATACTAGACCAAAATGCTGCTTTAAATAATTGTTCATAATGGAAACGACAAACAGGTTGGCTATAAAGAGTTTCCCCCACCCACTCGTCCACATTTTCCTCAAGTGCTGTCAGCTTCCATGAGCTTTTCAATGCTGCCACAAATGCCCAAATAATAATAAAAAAAGCTTCCATATAAGAACATCCCTCCGGGCTGCTTGCCAAAGGCGACCAATGACAGGGCCTGCAAGGAAGGATGACCCAACAAACCACTAACATGACTGACTGCCAGCATGTGGATTTGATGACCAGCACCGCTGTGACGGAAACCCATCCCCCAGGCAGGCTGCCAAGTTGAAGAACAGGCTCAGCTGCTTAGAAAAGGGCTCATTTATTTTGTTCACAAATGTGCTCTTAAACTATGGGTTTTTATGAAGTGAATGTAAGCTGCCTTGAGAATTTCCTGCTGAAAGGTAGGATACACAACTGAAATTAAGTAAAGATAAACATCTTGCCCACTGTGTCTCTGGCATCACATCTGCACCAAATTTAAAACACATGGCTTCCCCCCAAGAATCCTGGAAACTAGCTTGCCCCTTACCAAGCTACAATTCCCAGCACCCTTAACAAACTACAGCTCCCATTACTACCAAGACTAATGATAGCGGATAATAGTTACATATTTTGTTCCTACAACTGTATTGTGTGGAAAGCCATTATTACTCCTGTTTTACAAGTAGGAAATAAATACTGAATTATAACAATGGGATGAAGGCTACTCCAATGGGCTCTTCTTTCCTTCCCAGAGCAGATGTAAATCCTATAAGCTATCTTTATTCATCTCCTAAAAGAGATTGATCAGAAGGGAGTTTCAGTCTCGAGGACCAGTTACCACTTACGTTTTTTGCAGACCACTGCCGGTGGAAAACAGAGTTCGTGCTGTTTATGTTTATCATGCCAGAAAGCATAAAATCAGTGTTAAGTACGATTGCTTCCCAATGGACAGGGATGCTTCCAGATGAGAGCCTCACATCACAAATGGTTCATTCAGTTCTGATTTTGCTGTATGTGCAATTGGCATATTAGCTTTCAACACATTTCTGTGTTTCAGTCTTGGATATTCATTGTTATTCTGCTGACTGCTGTCCGCACCAGTGGGAGGAGCCTGAGGGAATGTGTACAGAGGTGTGGAGGGGGGGCTTCTCCTACTCCTCACTCACTCCTCTTTTGTCCTTCACTGCCTTTTTCTGGACCACGCATGTATGCATGTATGCAGATATTTCTGTACTAGTGCATACACACATTTATTTATTTGTTTATTTGTTTATTTGTTTATTTATTTATTATAAAGGAAGTGCACAAAAGTGCAAGAGCAGATGTTACCAAATGTACTTATGTTTCCCATGCTTTCAGGGAGGCAATATCCATATTAGTTTTTTTCTTTTTTTAAAAAAAATTAATACTGCAGTTTTGCACAAAGGTGATATTTTTCCCAAGGCTTGCCCAAAAATAATAAAGAGGCCTTGCACAACATCTTGGTATTTTCAATTTAACGAAAATTAAGTCCCACTACGTACTGCAGTCCTACTCCCTGAAGTAATCCCCCATGGATACCTTACCAAGGACTTGTGAGAGCAGCTCTTTCTGACCAGGTTGCTAAAGTTCAAACATGCCTCTAGAACACAGCAGCTGGTGAAAATAAGCATACAGTATTCATATATTTTGGACTCCTGGAAACAAATGGCTAGGTGTACTCCTAGGTGAGCCCTTGGAAGCAGGGGTGTGGCCTTAGAGCCAACCACCAAAACGTCACAATACATGTGACAACCCCCCCCCCCACGTGCTAATGAGCTTCCACGCTAGCAGTGACTGCAAATGTATAACAAGCTTGTTTTTACTCATCAGATTTTCCATGGTAAGAGGAAATTCCAGATTAAATATATAAAAAGTAGGGGCCAGCATTTGATCATTCATTACAGTGTTGTTTGGATGATGAAAAAAATCTTACATGCATGAGCAGCACTGATTTCACAATAAACATCCATCTGGAAGCACCTTAGATATGGGAGTCTCTCTTTTGAAATCCCAGAATAACATTACTTTCCTTCTTCCACAGCTTTATCTCAAACAGCTGAGAAAGTCACTTTTGCTGTTTACAGAGAGAAGTCTAAAGTTTGTTATTTAAGAGCTGAGAAGAGCCTTCTCAGTGGTGCCCTCTCCTCAGTTTATGGAATCTCTACCAAGAGAGGCTTGCCTGGTGTCTTTGCTGTTATTATTAATCACTTTAAAAACAAAAAAACAAACTCAAGACTACTTTTTTTTTAAAAAAAGCATATAGTGATGGCCTTTTTTGTGCCAAGGAAAGACGTCAGGAGAAATTCAACATCACCCTGTTACAAACGTCCCATCAGTGCAAACATTTCTGCTTGCCCAACAGAACAATCTCCCCTTTTCTACCCCCTCGCAGTGTTCTGGGGTTTCTCCCAACTCCCCCCAAAAAGGGGAGCAGTAGAGTGGAAGTCCTAGTGCAGGCTTCTGCAGTTAGTTGAATCTGGCCCTTCTGTTATTCCAAGCAGTGCCATAACTACAGGGGAGGTTGCTGGGGTTTTTGCCCCGGGCAAAGCCTCCAGAGGGTCACCACTGAGGCTCCCAGCCTCTCTCTGTGTGTATACAAATGTGTGTGGGGGGGTGTCCCAAACTGGGTCTTTGACCCGGTTAAAATAAAGCCTAGTTTCACTCCTGCTTCCAGGTCTTTTTAACATTATTTTATCACTCTTTCATTCTTAATTAACATTATGTCAAACTGATATGGATCTTTTGCCTGCTTTTATTGCGATTGTGTTGTTCTCAGCTCTACTTTTTTACATCTTATTAGCTGTCCATTTGACTAGGTAATTTTGAGCGTAGCTGTAGGGTTTTTAAAAATCTATGCTGTTTCTAAATTTAATTATGATATGTTCACTGTGTTTTTGCCTTTTATAATCTGCTTGGAAATTTTATTGCCCAGAGGACCTATGATTAATAGGATGTAAATAATAAATACAAATGAATAATACAAATACAAATAAACAGTGACATCATCAGCTGAGCTGGCTGTATAATATGCTCTTGCGCCACCACATTATGGATGTTGGCTGAAGTGAGGCCAGTGCAGAGGTTGCCTGGTGTCCTCTTGGCTGTGCTGATAACAGGCAGAAAGGTGGAGAGCACAAAGCACCAGTTGCCTGAAGCTGGACAGCACTTGCTATTCTTGGCAGCACTGGCTGGAAAATTGGAAGCTTCAAAAGAATTTTGTTTTCATTTGTTTGGGAGGCAGCCAAGCATCTGGGAGGCAGCTGAGGAGGAAGAGTGTAAGTGGAGGGAAACCTGTGCAGTTTACTATTTATCTATCAGATATGAATCTCATACTGGCTTTCTCCAGGTGTTGCAATCTATCTCTTCCTATCTCTTGGCCTGGAGCTTCAAGGTGTGCTTGTGCTGTCTCCTGTACCTCAAAACATCTCCCTTTCTCTCTTTTCCTTTTTTGGGGCATCTAGTGACCTGTACACTGCATCAGTTCCCACCTGTACATACCTGTAGATGCAGCAACCCTCCCAACCATTCTAATTATTATTTACAGTATTTACAATATTACATAGAGGACAAGTCTGTCAATGGCTACTAGCCTCCACATTGTGCCTCCACAGCAGGAGGCATCAATGCTTCTGAATACCAGATTCTGGGAACCATGGGAGGGGAAATTGTTCTTGTGTTCTGGTACTGCTTGCTGGTTTCCCACAAGCATCTGGTTGGCCACTGTGAGAACAAGCAGTCCATAAAGGACTGCTGCTGCTGCCCAGGACTGCCTGCTGGGAGCCTGAAGGGCTCTGCCCTGCCTCTCTCCACCTGGCTTGGGCTGGGGCCTGGCAGGCTCCATAAAGGGCGGCGGCGGCGGCGGCTGCTTGACAGAGAGGGCTCCTTTTTAAAATTGCTTTTATTTTTTATCTATGTCATTTTAAATTGTAATTGATATTAAAGTTGTATTTTTAGCTTTAGATTTTATGATTTCTGTGGAAATTGTTTTCTGTTTGGTTGTGTACCTTTTGATGTGTTTTAGTTTTTTTTAAATGATTTTTGTTATATTAGTAATTATGTAAATCTTGTCATGTTATAAGCCGCCTTGGGCATTGTTTTAACTATGGAAAGGCGGTATACAAATAAAATGGTGATGATGATGATGATGATGGACTGGATGGGTCACTGGCCTGATCCAGCAGGCCATTCTTATATTTTTAATAATCATTATCCAATGAACTCTGGGCAGTATATAATATATGCCCCCTTTATACCTCAGTGCAACCCTATTAACCTTTGTGGTAGGTTAAGTTGAGAAAGTGTCTGGCCAAAAGTCACCCAGTGAGTTTCATGACTGTGCAGAGAACTGAACCTAGGTTTCCAGAGCCCAACAGTCTAGCCACTACACCACTACCCTCGGTCGAACAAGATTATCCCTATCATATATGCAGGTGGTAATTTATAGAACGGAAATAAGAAAGCCAGCTTTTGAAAAGAAAGCGTCATTCTTCTTCCCTCATTTCTACTGCCACTGCTCACTGGTGTAAAAAAAAAAAAAAGCTGTACTCCCAACCCACTGCAATAATACCTACTTTACTTTATTCATACCTGATAGCTCTTTTTTATGTCAGCTGTTCTTGTGTTGGGAATGTCACATGATTCATGTGTTCTCGCCAAGGCTGCTAGCATAGGATATAGCCATAAATAAAGGAAACCCACTCGTGCCACAATAAATCTGCCAGTGTTTATGGTATCACAAAATTCTCTGTTGGTTTTGCTGCTTGCCAGGTTTCTAATACTGAGTTTTTGTAAACTTGGCAATTCTGGCAGAGTCGCTTTAATCAGTGAAGAATTTTGTACATTAACATTTCACCCATAAACTTGGACTGCGTCTGTTTCTTTATCCTGCTCACTGTGTAGCCATTTCTAATTTGTAGCTGAATTTAAACACCATTCTGAAGCACACCTTCAAATTATACTGATTGTGCTCAAGCCTGATTAAGTTCATTGTGGCCATAATTAGGATTTGTGAAGAGTTGTGCAACAAAATAAAAATTATACATATATAAGGCTAATATTCTATGCAGAGTTAGCTGGGAGCAAGTCCTACTCAGTTTAGATACTCTTACTTCTGAGTAAGCCTGCACACAATTTGGCTCCATATTGTGCAATTTACAGACTGTGAAAGAATGCATAATTTCTATCCAGTACAGTATTACAGAAATCCCATGAATGTGTTTATTACCAGATTTTATGAGAATAGTTTGCTCTCTGCTGCACCAATTAACTGCTTTCTTAACATAGGCCTGTTTCGCACATAACACTAAGCCGTAGTTTGTTTAGCAAACCATGAATTAACTATGAACTGTCCCACAATCAAATAAACCATAGTTTGTTTCTCTAAGGCTTTAACTCCTCTTGCCTCATGCTTTTGTACCTTGATGAGTGACTGGGGTGGGACAGCCAAACAAATCAGGGTTAATGAAGGTTGCCAGGTGTACACATGTTGGCAAGCCATAGCTAAACAAAGCAAGATTCATAAGCCAACAATACATCATGCCTTCAGTTCAAAGTTCGTTGGCAATTCACATACTATAGCCACTGGGCAGGGTTTTGGACAAACAAACAAACTGTGGTTAAATTAACCACAGCCCGGAGCTATACAGACTAGATTTGAGAGTCTTAACTTTTCTGCTGATGCAACTAGCCCATTTTAAAACATGCTAGTAGCTGGAGCATCTTTTGAGCAGAGGCAGTTTTAATTTCTTGAGGCAACTTTTCACTGCTTGAAAAGTTCCCAGTAAGCAACGTTTGTTTGCTTATATAAAGGACAGACAAAAGGAAGCACTTATTCACAAAATGATTGTGGTTTTCACTGCCAGAAGATGTAGTGATGTCCAGTAGCTTAGATGGCTTTAGAAGTGGAGTAGACAGACTCATGCTGTATATCAGTGACCACTAGTCTTGATGATGGTAATATGCTACCTCCTGTTTCATCTGTTACTGAGGATAGGGGTGCAGCAACAACAGCAACAAAACATTTGAGCAATCTGATCATATTTTTCTTTAAATAAAACAGATGTAAATTGAGTATCTGTAATGCTGCTATGTGGATTGGTTTTCTCGTGAATTAAACATTACTCATGTTAGAATGAATTGCAGTTGAGGAAGGCACTTAAGTATGCATAGTTGCCAGGTCTTCCTTTGGCAAAATTCTTGACTTCATCAGGTCTTTAAATTCCTACCATAGGTTTGATTTCAAACGAAGCACAATTTGCAACAACAACTGTTTCTTCCAACGCCAGTGAGAACTATGGAGGTTATGTCAACTGAAAGCCCCTGGCTTTCTTTGTGGTAGCTCCTACCCTTTGGAATGCTCTGCAATACCCACCCTTGGTTATTTTGGAGGCACCAGCCACAGGGGGCACCTGACATTTGTTAAAAACACAACCATTTCCCCCATTAGTTCTAGTTCCAGTCCTCCTATATTTTTGATGACACCTGTGGCATTCCTTTTTAATATAAGATGACTTCAATGTCTTTATGTTGTACACAGCTTTGGGGTTTTTCTGTGGTAAGCTGTATACAAGTTTTTCTAAATAAATAGATAAAGGCTGCACTCCTATTCACATTTATTCATCAAATTCATTGGGTCATGCATATGTTTTGGCTGCATGTGAGATAAAGCTATGTTGCAATCCATCACAAGTCTTTAGGGTAGGTCTTTAGGGAAGGCCAACTGTCATTGTTTTTATGATATGTTTACAACTGAGACTTGCAATAAAATGCTGCAATGTAATCTCATCTCCAAGCATGAACCTGCCAGCCATGCTCTCCTCCAGGAGGCCATTCCATTCTCTCCCTCCCTGCTCCATTTTCTATTTTTATTTTCCAATTGACATCCGTCAATCAACATTTTTTGGTTACTGAGCATGCTTAGTAACCAGGGAATATTTTTTGTTTTTTGTTTAAATGTGCTTCTACAAACCCCCAAGTACAAGCTGATGCCTTCCTCATTTCTCAGTGGCCCTGTTTTCACTCCATTTCTATCGGTACTCACCACCCGAGTTGACTATTACAGGGAGTTCTCATTACACAGTTAGCAGGCTCAAGTTAGGCATTTTACAAGGCGATATGACCTGCAACTTTGACTATAGATGCCAAATGACATGCTTGAATCTGTGGTGTCTGCCATAGTCATAAGACCCCTTCCGTGTCAAAATCACATGTAGAGTCATCTGGGAATTGCATATGCATCTATTTTATTAAAAACACACACCCCAAAGTCACAACTATCTGCTGCTTCCCAATGCATATGTACTGCATATGTACGCATTACAGCAGATGCATGGTTTTTAATGCGTCCCCCCCCCCATGTCTCACTGCTGAGGGGGTAGTCAACAGAAACAAAAGGTTACCTCCTTATGCATTGGAGAGTACCTTCTCTCTCTCTCTCTCTCTCTCTCTCATACACCACCCTACATGAAAGAGGATAGCTGGAAACACTATATAATAGTGTGTTATACATACTCACATCTGTATATATAGAGTATATACACTCACTCACTATATATAGAGTATATGTAGAGATCCTACAGAAATATAGACACACACACCGCCCAATAATTCATTAATAAACAAACAAACCAGCATACACTCTATAGCCCTCTTGATTCCCAGCAGCTGGGAAAGACTTCAGTTTTTAAAGTGCAATACATTAAAGTAAAGTTGCATTCTGGTAGCTGAGCAACGGAAAGCCACAGGCCCTTGGGGGGAATCGCCAGCCAGTAACCTGTTCTACAAGATGCTGGGAGTGGGGGAAGTGAGCAACCCCGCTGTCCGAGAAAGAGTGGGAGGCAGAGAGAATGCCTTACAGTAAGAGCTGGCTGCACTAGCAGCCATGAACTTTCCCAGAACCCCATGCTAAAGACTGCGCCTCTGTTAGCAGACTGCAAGGTCATAAAGGGCCTTGCAGCCTGTTCCACCCGCCTTGCTCTTGCAAAGGAGGCCCAAGAATGGACAATAGAAATAGCAAATACTGGGGTCATGGAGCTGTAGCAAAAGGAGGCCCTTCTGGGAGCAATATTGCTTGGGTGTGCGCACCTCCTCCAGCCCCCGCTGCCAGCAGTGGAGCATAGGGACAGGTGTGAGACAGGAGCTTAGGATCACAAGTGGGGGGGGGGGTTGGTATAAAAACGGCCTGACCAAAAAACAAAACAAAACCCTAAGGGGTAACATCCCAACCACAGAAGCTGGAAGAGCTGAACACTCCCCAGGTGCCCTGTGTGTCCCATCCCGCTCCCCGCCCCCATGGTGCCTCCACAAGCTTCATTTGGGTGGTGTATGGCGTGCCTGTATTAAATATTCATACTGATTTAACATTTGTGTTTTTATTGCTGCTTTTATTTCTTATAATACATGTTTTATTGCAGTACGGTTTGAATTCTAAATACCTCCTCTTCTTTTTTTTGCAAGCCCTTGAAGAAGGAAGCTTGGGCATAGCATGAGGTTTGCACGAGGGTCAAAGCATCCAGGGTCGCAGACAACTCAGTTCGACTCAAGAGTAGACCCATTGGCATTAATGAACCTCAGTTAGTCCTGTCCGTTAACATCAATGGGTCCACTCTGGAGTAGGCCTAGCATAGGCTACAACCCCAACTCATGGAAGGGCTGGCTAACTTCACTCGGAGAGCTGTGAAGTTACTGCCAGTATCATGGCCGGCTCTATCCACCAAAAGAGTGAGTGTCCTTCCGGTTTTCCGGGGCCCGCTCCCGTGGAGAGGGGCGACAGGCAATCCCACGCGGTTGTGGAGAGCAAAGCGGGTGGGCGCGGGCACGTGGCCGAGGGCGGCGGCTGACCCTTCCCCGCTTCTCCCGCTCGCGGCTGCTGCTGCTGCTTCTTGGGCTTCTGCTGGGCGTGGGCCCCGCGCTCCGCTCCTGCCTTTCTCCTCTGCTGGCTCCCGGCATTGATCGACGCCCCACCCAGGGAGTCTTCAACTCTTGACGCCTGCGGGAGCCACTTCGGATCCGCCGCTCGAGCCAGCTCCACCCCTTTGGGTTGACTCGCCGGCGCTGCGGGTTGGAGAGAGTTAGAGAGGGGAGGAGAAGCCGGGCAGCCCCTCGCTCCTCAGCCAGCCACGGGAGAGGGAGACACCAGCCGCAGGCAACGGACACCCCGTGGGGGACTGCGAGGATCTGACCCCCAGAATTTAGCCGGATCTTACCCTCCATCGGTACTGGCGGCGAGACTCCGGAGAGGCGCTTCCCCCTCCCCAGTACCCGGCTCGGAGCGCCCCCCTTCGACGGCAGCGGCGGCAAGGAAAGAGAGGGTCGTCCCGAGCTGGAGAAGCAGGTGAGTTTCGCTGCGTTTTCCCTTCCGCGCCGTCTGTGGTTGGAGATGTGTCGCTAGACTAGAGCGCCCTTGCAACTTTGCAGGCGGGTTCGGGCTGATCCGGGCCAAGCTGGAGCGAGGACTTTCCTGTGTTGTGACATTAGATTGCGCTTCGCGGAAGATCTTCTCTGCAGCCCCGTAGTCCTCATGGAGGAGAAGCTGAGGCGAGAAAGGCAGTTGTTCCCACAAGTTGCTTGCCAGGAAATGTTTAGTTTGCGGGAATCGTACTCACGCAGAGAGTGTGGACTGCACCTCATTTGACCCTCTTTCTGCCCTTGGCAGGCATCGCCAGGTCACAGCAGAATCACTCCACACTCAGATGAACTCTTTAATGATCATCTCGATGGCACAGGCAAAGGGGTGGTGATAAAGGATGCCCCCGTTTGGTTTTGGTAAGGTAGTGTATGCAGAAGACTCTGACTCCTTAGAAGAGTCTAAGGAATATATGAGACCCGGAAGAGAGTTCAGCTCTTGTAAAATGATTATGAATCTACACAGTTGTGAACTGGAAGAAAGGTTAAGGTCATTCATTGTCCTCGCCTTTACACCCAGACAAAACATTTCCAACATGTAAGGTTTGAAGGAGCTGGCATTAAAACAAGGGCTCTTGAATTTTGTAGCCCTGAAAGGGGGACAGTAGAAGGTACAACTAGAAAGCCATACTCCCTGCAAATTAATGCATTACTTCTGAAAGAGCAGTAGGGATTTTTTTGGGTATCCACTGTGGCCGAGAGGAAGAGGACCAGGTCTCCTCCTGCTGGTGACTCACCACCAGCCATTGGCTGTCATCACATGGAAGAAAAGATGGAAAAGGCAAAGTTGAACACTCTCTATTCTCGTGCAATCAGTCTCTGACTGCAGCTCTAAATGTGCACTAAGTTCTTAGAAGCCTTTTTTTAGGAGAATGACTGTATATTTCTGGAGTCAGCACTTCTCTCTGCAAAGCCACTGGAGCCAGCCTCAGTGGAAGGAGGCCAGACCCCTGCGGGAGAAGACGGGCATATTATTTTGGGAAGGGGGTTTGGAGGGATATAGAATTTGCTTCCTTCCTCTCCTTGTGTTAGCATTATATTTAATTTTCTGTATCATTATAAACTCGGAAGACCTGGCATTAGAAACTGATGTGGCATTGCTGGGTCAAAATCAGTTACAGTTGTTATTATAGTAGCTTTCCTGGGTTATAACTTTCATATGTGATTGGTGCATAGAGCTATTGGGAAAAGACAGATATGTTGAGTCTGAGGGGTGTTTGAGTCGGGATCCACCCTATTCCTGCAAGTTGTTTGAACTTTTTAAAATACTGATTTTTTAATTATTGTAACCCACCCTGGGACCTCCTGGTGAAGGACTAGTAATAAATGTAATAATAAATATGTAAATAAATAAACAAACCATCTAGTGCAACATTCTTCTGAACCAGATCTTCTTCATAGAAACTTAGAATTGTAGAAGTGGAAGGGACACCAAGGATCATCTAGTCCAACGCCCTGCAATTCAGGAATTTCATCAAATAGGAAATTCAGAACATCCTCATGAGATGGCTTGTCCGAGCCTTTGTAATTGGTTCCATTGTCAAAACTGCTCCCAATGGTGCTCCTCTGGGGGCTGCTAGTGGGGGCGCAACACACACACCTTTTTTTTACCTGCTATTTGTGCAAGTCTGGTCTATCAGAAAACATGTATCTCGTTTTTTTTTAATGGCTGCATGCACAGGCAAACAAATACCTGCGGTCATGCACACAGCGGACTTCAGGTTTCTAGAAATTAGGGAATGTGAGGAAGTACTAATTGAAGGGATAGCAGCACACGGTGCAAATATATCCCACCAAGCACTGCCCACTAGTGTGGATGGGGAACATTGATTCAATTGAAAATGTGTGGGCAGATATGCACAAATGCGCACATGAAGAATCAGATCTGTCTGGCCTATATGCACTCTGGTGCATACACAGCCTGAGAGCTCTTAAGTATTTGAAGAGTGCTACCATGACACACACACACACTGTCACCCCTCAGTCTTTTCTTCTCAATGCTAAATGTACCTGGTTCCTTCAACTTTTCCTTCTAGGACTTATTTTTTCATGCCACTGACTCTCTTCACTGCCCTCCTTTGAACCCTTTCCAGTTTGCCTATACAGTATTCTTCTTAGAAATGGACACTGTACTCCAGGTGAGGTCTTATTCTTGCAGGTGAGGTCCTACTAGTGCAGAATGTAACAGAAATATTACATCTTGTGACTTGTATGCTATAGCTCTGTTAATGCAGTCACCTTAGTCTCTATTTGCAACTACATACATGTTCAGCTCATGGAATCAGCTACAATTCTGAGATCTTTTTCATATATGCTACTGCTGAGCCAAGGATCTCCCATCCAGTACCTCTGGAATTGGGTTTAGGGTTGCTGTCGTTTCTGCCCAAATGCAGAACATCTCATTTGTCTCTGTTGATCTTTGCTTTGTTAGTTTTGGTTTCCTGTGTGTTTGGATTTTTTATTTTATTTTCTGCGCATTTTAAATTTATACCCTTATGAATTAAACAGCTAAAGGATCTACTCATGTTTAATTTCAGCTAGTATAAAAAGGCTAAGCATGGGTTTAGGCTGCTTGCATCAAGATTTCTTCATGCACTAGCAAACTCCAGTTCAGTCTCCTTATGCCTAATATGGGCAAGTTCATGGGGTCCACAGGGTGCTCCTTTATAACGCAGAGCATTGCATAACAGAAGCTGAGTCGGTGCTGCATAGTTTGTTCTGCTCCCAAGATTTGCTGCAGGGCACCTCCTTTTTATCTCTGGAGAGGATGGAGGCGGGAGCATTGCCTTACCAGCTGACTTGTGTTCTCCTTGTCACCCAGTCCATGTACAGTAATAAACTTTTAGAGGCTTCAAGCAGTTTCTCTGGCTTTGCTCCCTTCCCTGGCAGTATCATAGCATCAAGTCTTTTAAAACAGCAGTGTGTAGATTTCAAACTGAGTTGCAGAGAAAATAAATCTCTCTTCCCATTAGTGATGGTGATTTGAAAAGAAGCATCACTGATAGAAATGTAAGCCCTGGCACTATAGGGCTGCTTCGCATGGCATGTTAAACAAAACCTTGGTTTAGCAGGACTATTCAAGCTTGTGGGATTTGGGGGAGGAACTCATAGGTGCTTTGCTGCTCCCTGTGTTGAGCAGGGCTAAGAGGTGGGAAACTTGCAGCCGCCTAGAGGATCTAGCTGGCCCATGAGGCCATTTTCCCCAAACCATGTCCATGTGTCCATCAGATTATGTCACTGGGTGATGTCAGCTGATTGGTGGGGACATGGCTCAATTCTGCTGGATGCTGCAGACCCCTGCAGCCAGCAGAATTGAACCCTTCACTCACCAGCTGCTGGACGCTGCGTTTTGAGAGTGCTCCCTGAGAGGACTGCACTAGCAAAGCAGACTCTTGTTCCATCCATGCTGCTCGGGTGGGTGTCATGATGTCATATGATTGACAGTTGGCCAGCAGGGGTGATGGGAATTAGAGATCAGACCCACCAGGCCAAAAACATTGTGGTTTAGCCACGAGGACCAGGAAAATGCAAAACTGCAGCAAGCTGCTCTGCAGGAACCTATAGGGTCTTGCTAAGCCAAGGTTTGGCTCACAGTGTCCTATGAACCAGGGCAATGCAGTGGTGAACCTCAGGGTTTCAAATTTCAATGCTGCCTTGTGTGGTGCCAAAATTTGGCACCCTTGACCTCTTGCTTTCCATTCTACATCATAGTTGTAGTGACCCCTGCTGACCCCCCCAAGGCTCCGCGCCCAGAGTGGCCAAACAGGTCGTGTTCCCCTAAATTTGCCTTTGACCATAACTTTGGAGGGGTCGTTCTGTTATCAGCATAAGATCTGCCAATTAGGACATGTTGAATTTGTCAGAATGTTACTGGGAATGATACCAAAGTTCCGTCTTTCTACAGACCTCAGGAATGTCACAGAAAGGTCCAAGGAAGGGCAAATCACAGTAGTCTGAAAGCTGGAGTTGCTTATGCATGCAACTGTGTCTTATTTTTGGTACAGAAGAGACATGGCTGTAGTAGATATTTTGGCCTTCAGGGTTCAGAAAATATGTCAGCCTACCCTATTCCAAGAACATCTTCCAGTCAAAGTCTTGTAAATATGAAGAAAACATATTATTCCTAGAATGTTGCACTCTGTCTGTCTGTCTGTCTGAAATAGTTGTACTGCTTAGCAGTCACAATTCCCTTCTCTAGACCAGGGATGGAGAATCTGTGGTGCTAGTTCAGCAACATCTGGTTTAGAGAAGGGAATTCCAGCAACACCTGGAGAGTCCGAGGTTCCCCATCCTTCTTTCAGAGGCAGTGATAAACAGGGACATAGACTGTGTCCAAATTTTTTGCCATCATGATAAATAGAATGCCTCTAGAGGGCAGTGATGGATGTCAGAAACATGACTAAACAGCTGCCAATAGGGGACATGTCTGTTATGGATGTGTACAGCTAAGCCAGCAAAAGAGATGGCCACCCTTGTTCTAGCTGCAGTAAAAGAAGAGGAAGAGAGGAACATGTGTAGGAAGGGAGAATTTGTATGACAGGCCTGGACTTCACTGAATTTCACATCAAATGCAACTGTCCCAACATCTTCCATTCTTGTTTAGGGAGTGCTGAACAATGTAAGGAGAGATTTGTACACTGCCAACAATTGGCAACTTAGAGGCGTTTCTGCCAACTGAGTGTATATGAATTTTGATGAATAAAGTAACAAAGATAGCCAAGAAACAAAGAAAGCTACATACAGGTTACTGGAGAAGAAGGGTGGAGCATAATTCCACAGAATCATAGAATTGTAGGGTTGCAGGGTGCACCAAGAGTCATCTAGTTTAACCCCCTGCAATGCAATGCAAGCTGGATCCATTGTCGGGACTGGCAGGGCTCTGGTGAGTGTGCGGCAGAGGTAAGGAGGCTGGAGGCTGACCCAGCAAAGGGCACCAGCAATTTATGGGGTTTTGTGCCACCCACAAGGCAGGAGCCAGGGCTGGAGGAACAGGAAGAGTCTGAGTAGTCAAGAGATGGAGGATGAGGCACAGGACATGTTGGAAGCAGAAGCTGTTCAGGTGAGAGGCAAGAAGTAAAGTTACAGGAAACTAGGCAGAGGACCATCTCAGTAGTGGCAATCACCCTGTGGAACGCCCTCCCATAAGATGTCAAGGAGTTAACAACTATGTGACTTTTAGAAGACCTGTGAAGGCAGCCCTATATAGAGAAGTTTTTAATGTTTGATGTTTTACTATGGTTTTATAGTTCGCTGGAAGCCTAGTCAGATGGGCAGGGTATTACTACTACTAATAATGAGTGGAATGACACTGACTGTTAAGGCTAACACCAATGTTTCTCAGGGGTCTTTTCCTTCCTGCTTACTTTCTTTCACCAGCAAATGAATTCAGTTCAAGTAGGGAAGTAAATATTATTAGTTATTTTCTCCTTCTGTAAAACCGATTTGTTATTGTCAGAGCCATGCTAAAATCATCAATATTCTGTGTCAAGAGAACCCACATTCTCTCCACTAAGAACAAGCAAATTCTGCAATCTATAAAAATTAGGCAGATTTTTGCCTATTTTATAAAAGGGAGTGAAATGATGTCATGTATGACCTAGTTCATGTTCTTGCATTGGGGGGTGGACTTGATGACGCTCAGGATCCCTTCCAACTCTACAATTCTATGATTCCATATGTCCTTACCCTATACTACAAATCATTAGGCACTATACAAGCTTATTCAAAAGCAAACCCCACTTCATTCATGGGAGCTCTGTTCAGTATGCTCTGGATTGCAGCCTTAGCCACAGATCTGGCTCATGGTGTTTCCCCACATACTGTATTACTTTCAAGTTTTTATCTGCAGCTCTGCAGAGCTGCTGCAAAGTGGCCAAGAGAAATGGGCTGTGAAGTTCCTGGTTCATTAGCAACTTACAGCCAGCTTGCGTGGCGAGTTCCCGCCCCCCACCAGGATAAATAAAGACACGAGACACCATAGCTTAAGGTTAAATGGGCGAATTAGGCCACAACTTTATTGAATTCAGGAATGAGAGGCATTGGCTTAGGCATTGGTCCTAACGACTATCCGGCTCCAGCCCATTTGCTGGAGACACGGGGAAGGGTTAACACTATATCGGGGGAGTCTCCTGCCAAGGCACGTCGACTAGGAGCTCCCCCGGGTCACCGCTCAGGGGCGTGTCTTTGGCCCACACCTCCATAACGTGGGGGCTAGCCGGCGAAAAGAGGGCGAGCCCCCTCCGTGCTGGCCCTAAATAGGGCAGACCCCCTGCTCTCGCGGGGGCTGAAACCAGCCCCCGCTCACGTGGGGGGTGGGCGTGAAGCCCGCAACCCCACCTCCTGGGCAGGCCGGAAGTGGCTTTGCTAACTTGCTTATTCTGTTAATGGAAAGATGTGGAATTGGGCACCTAAGAGGAACTTGCACCAAATGGTGTATGCATATTGAGCTCTGCAATACGTTTGATCTGAGCTGTGATTCATTGTGCCAAATTTCCAAATCAAACAGAGGAGTCTTGCAGTTTGGTCTCTACTGGGTTAATGTTTTTGAGCACATAAACATGTTTTGCCTGCCCTCATACTGTAAGGCAGAGGTGGGTTGACTTGTATGGTTTATGTTGTTGTTGTTGTTGTTGTTGTTTAATTAGAATTGCCATGGTCCTCCAGTATGTCTAAAGTTTACAAAGCAATATGGTGTCATCAGGTGCTCTCAACTGCTGCAAAGGAGTCACTAATTGTAACACCAAACCCCTTCTCCCTTGTTCCCTGCTGCGGCCACTAGCATCCTTTGCATACCTGCTTATGCATGTAAGTCCACCTAGCTTTTTTGCAAGAATCCCAGCAGCCACTGAAGAATGCCCAGTGATCCTGCCATTATTTGCCCCAGTTATAAGAAGCATTCTAACTTGTCTTCCAGACTGATAATAGGAGTCTATTGCTTTGGACTCTTCCCTGGAATAATTACGCATGCCTTCCCATTTCAAGGGCAGCTGCCTTTTGCAGCCCAATGAATATGGGGATTCTCACTACAAAGCAAAAAGAGGTGCCCCCTTGCCCAGCGGCACAGAGTGGCGTGCCCCCCCCCTTCTTGCTCTGCTTCTATTTTGCTGCAGTGCAGTGACTTTAATATGTTCTAATTAGGCATCTGCTGGGAGGGAAGACTGGCTCCTCCAGCAATCACTGCAACAAAGCCCTTCCCTGCTGGGGTGGTGAGAATGCTCTGTTTGGAAAAGTTTTGGCTTTGGCTAGGACTGCAAGGAATTCTTGCTCATAAGAAAGACATGGTTCACTTCCAGGCCCCAGAAATCCAGTCTGGGCAATCCTACCTGAGTGTGCAAGTCTTTGGAGAGCCCACTGCATATTCTCCAAGACAATCTCCCCAACAAAGTTTCAGCAGGAGCTGCGGCCAGGTCCTTTTTTAATGCAACCCCCATCCCAGGTAAACCATAGTACAACAAACAACTTTGTGAGGGGATGGAGCTTTCTTTTTTTTCTTTTCTTTTTCACTTTCTCCTATGCAACTTAACCAACTCCCTGGAAAGGGAGCTCTGTGCTCTCACCTGATGTCTGAGCAGTGTTCACTAGCTGACCCACCAACCATGGAGCAGTCACCAGAAAATCGCCCTCCCTGCCTTACAGCTGGGCTCAAACGACATCTCCGTAATTGCTTTAGGAATCTGGCATCGCTTAATTGCCAGAGATGCAGGGGAATAATTGCAGAAGACAAATGGGCTCAGAGGTGGCCATGTCTTGATGAAAAGAACAGGCTGGGGAAGATTCATTCAGGGAAAATGTTAAAAAAGGATTGAAGTAAATAGAAAGACATGGGAAAAAACGGGGAAGGGGCAGAATTCACTCTCTTTGCTGGGAGCTTGGCTGGCAGCCTTGCTTTTCACACAGGGAGGAAAGCACTGTAGTTTTGCTTTTGGCTTTTACACAGTGGATTACATTAACCTTGGAGACATCTGTGCAATCCCAATGACTGGGCTTGGCCTAAGAAGAGAGCTGAGCTGGACCTTGTCTATATATTGTGCCCAAATGTTGTGCTGATGAGTCATAGGTGCGAGTCAAAGACCTAACAGCAACAACACATTTGCAACCTTTCAATCAATAACGGCCTAGAAAAGATATAGCCCAAGGATGTGACCCTCCAGATGTTGTTAGATTACAACTCCCATCATGCTTCTGACCAGTGGCCATGCTGGCTGGGGCCAGTGGGAGCTGGAATCCAACAACATCTGGAAGACCACTGGCTTACCACCCCTGATGTAGCCATTGCTTTCAGAGCAGTAATTCAGATACCAGCTACCAAGACTCTAGACAAGCAGCTTCCCTTGGCTTTGATCAACTAGGAAACCCTGATCATCTACTGGGGGGCTCAGAGCAAGGCAGGGGGAAGATAGGGCACTCTCTATAGGTGTCCTGTTAACACTCATAGGTCAGTAGCAGAGCACATGCCTTGCACATAGTAGGCTCACTGATGTGAAATTGTCAACCACCACAAAGCAGGAAAGATCCCTGTCAAGACTCTGAGAGACTGGTTTCCAGACACATCAGTAATCAAGAGTTTGTGGTATATGTCTAGCTCCTAATTGTACTGTTGACTCGGAACAACAGCAACTCTCCAGGGATTCAGGCAGCCTCTTCTAGCCCTTCCTGGAGACACCAGGGGTTGAACCCGGGATCTTCTGCATGTAAAGAGGATGCACTACCACTGAGCATTGGCCCTTTCCCAAAGCACTTGGGGGCTTGAGCAAACCAATTATCTCCACCCCAACCCCAGTTTCCTTAACTGTTCCCCCCTTCAGCTGACACACCACCATCTTTATGAGATGGAAGCTTACTTGTTCTGGTCACTTTGGTGGGTGGGGGTTTAAATTTCAGTTACCTTTTAATGTAAGGTAAGTCCTCCAAGTATATAGAAAGTACCGTCTCAGCTTGGGGTTGCCTCATTTCTCTCCCAATCTGGTGGGCCCTCAATCACCAAAGTTTGCTCTTAGACAGGATTATGGCATTACTGGACTAGACTGACCATTGGTCTGACCAGGGGTGGTATAAGATCTCACCCAAAAAAATTTCATGTGCGTTCTTGACAATTTGCACTCATGAGGACATCAGGGCAGTTATACACGATCACACTTTCAACACTGTTTGCATGTGCAATAGGTTTGGGACAGATGTGCTGCTTCATTTCCAATCAGTGTATGTCCTGTAACTTCCTGCTGAAATCCTGTAACTTTCTAGACCACAAATGTTATTGGGTTGCTGTTGTTTTGTCCCACTCCTGTTGCGCTGTAGAGCAAGAGTGCCCTTCCAAAAAACCAAAACATATAATAACTTGGGGGAAGCATTGCAGAACAACAAATAATGTGAAATGATGTGCAGATGGTTCAGCACAACCGCTAAAGCAATTTTACTGCATCCATGTCATGTTGCAGAATATACCCACAAAAGACAAACACCAGTCTAGAGGGATGCTAGGTCTTAGGGATTAGTTTATTCTTGAAGGTGAAGACTGCAGGTGGCTCTCAGGAGTCAAGGGAGAACAGCCTTTTCTTGCTTCTTTAACAGCCAGCCGTTCCACCCAAAGTGCTGCCTCTGACCTTTGTATGGCTGTGTCAAAGCAGTGTGTGAAAGAGGCCAGGATATTAATTTCATTTACTGGCTTCCTATTGTTTGCTTTTCTCTTTGTCACTGTACGCTTCCCACCCAACCCTCCTCCCTACATTTGGCATTCTTTTCCTTGCTCTCTTGCACTCTTCTCTTCTTTTCTCCTTTTAAAGGCCTCTTAATTTGTTTCTCTGCTTGCCTTCCTGCCTTAAATGTTTCTCCGCTTTATTTGTACACATAGACGCACACAGGCGGAAAATTCCATTAACTTGTAACAGTGATTTTCTGCTTTTCAAAGGAGCAGTGCTTCTTTATGCATAATGTATCATCCATGCACATTATGCCATTCTGGGCCCTAGCCTGACCCCTAGACTCCTCCCATGAAGCCCCAACACCATCCATAGCCCAAGGGAAGCCCAAGAAGTGCTGCTGGTCCCAGCACTGATCAGAAAGATCTTAGCATTCAGGTGGGAACCTGACCAGGCCTGTCTCCAGAGACTGCCCTGGAAGAAACCTTGAGGTGGGTCTCCAACAACTGCAGCAGAAGAGCCACCTTCTGAGTCAGCAGGAGAGGCTGAAGTGCCTCCCAGAAATCCCAGGCGCCTACCCAGAGAAGGAGAATGTGTGCCTGAAAGCCCCAAATATTGGAACTACTTGTGAGTAATGGTCTACCCTACTTGACAGTAATCCCTTCTCTTCCTGGAGAGCAGGGTTAAGCACTTGCAGTTGGTCCTGGGTGGGGTCTAGGAGGCCAGACTGTGTAAGCCAGGCACCCCCAAACTTGGCCCTCCAGCATGATCCCTGACCACTGGTCCTGTTAGCGAGAGATGATGGGAGTTGTAGTCCCAAAACAGCTGGAGGGCCAAGTTTGGGGGTGCCTGGTGTAAACCCTTAGGTGACTGGCATGTCTTTTGGTTCTCAGGTTCATGAGGAGCACCATGCTTGTTTCTGCTTGAGGGCCCTTGTGTGGAACAGTTAGGGGGCCATATGCCAGTGGCTGGTGAGGCTCGAAGCAAAACTGGGCAGTGAAATGGATATGACTCTTACCTACTGTAAGGCTACATTCTAGCTATGCCAAATTCTCTGGTTTCCCCACGCAGGCATAGACTATATGTCTACTTACCTCCATCCAGGTGGGCAAGAGGCGTTATCACAGCCCAGGGGCATCTTCCAACCACATGAAAGCTCTTGCGGAGGGCTCAGAGCAGGACCCATAGGGAGGGGCTGACCTAGGGAGGGGCATGGTTTGGGGGAGAGAATTCCAGGGCATGCGTGACCACATTTCGCTCCTGGGCCTGAGGTTCCCCATCACTGATGTTATCTGTTCCGCTCTACCATTGAATGACCTCCTGTGCTGCTAACCTCTGGATTTCTTCTTGAAGACCCTGTTTGCTGGATTGCATTTGCCTCCGGACTGCTTCAATGTGCTTTGAGCCCAGCTACACCTGGGCTCTCCTTATTGAATTCCCTTTGATCCTGACCTGTTCTGTTGTGTTTCTCACATTAGTCTGCTGTTGACCTGTTTGTGGTTTACACCAGCCGATGCCCCAAACTGTGTCCTGACCTGGTTGGAGCAGGACACCTTGTCATCTCTGTTGTCTGGCATTTCCCCCCAGTCAAGACTAGGATTGTCAAGCTTCAGGGAGGGCTGTCTAATTACCTGTGTTAGGTGTAGTTTATTTTAAACCACTACGCTAATATTCTATTTTGTGGGATTCCTTTCTCCTGGAGGCTCACCAGAATCCTAGACTGACCAATTGTTAAATTTTTGGAAGTAGTGTCAGAACTTGCTGCTTCAGGAAGTATTTTGTGGCTAGCTTTAAGTGGGCATCGGGTAAATGTGTGGGTTTAAAGCAAACCTTTAGTTCTATGTGTTGAGTAGCACAGGAAGCTGGCAGCAGGGGCGGCAACAGCATTTCTTTGTTTACACTATTTAAATGCTAACCAATAACGTAAGTTCTCTAGGCAGCTTCCCATAACAATTACAACAAGTAAGTATTAAACAAGATTATAAATGCATGAAAAAGAAAACATCGGGAAATCAAATCAGTGCAACAAAGCTCAGAGCATACTAAAATGTCACAAATCTTTTAGACGCCAAGAATATCCCAAACATTCTATTTTGTCATGTACGATCTAGTTGAGATTTCTGCACTGCTGGGGGTTGAACTAGATGACCCTTGGGGTCCCTTCCAACTCTACAATTCTATGACCTAAAAACCCCTAAAAGGTTTTAAGATTGGAAAACCTAGGAAATATTGTTAAAGTCTTTGCCTGGTACTAAAAGGACCATAATATACATAGGTGCCAGGCAAGCCTCTCTAGGGAGGGCATTCCACAGTGGGTGTGCCACCACTGAAAAGGTGCTATCCTTTGTACCTGCCAAACCTCATTTGGTGGGTGCTGCTGAAGAAGAGTCGCAGATGATCTCAAAGTCCAGGCAGGTCTAGATTGGAGGAGATGATCCTTCAGGTAACGCGGCTAGTTGAAGGCCATTTTAGAATCCCACTTTCTTGCTTTTATATACAGTGGTACCTTGGGTTAAGAACTTAATTCGTTCTGGAGGTCCGTTCTTAACCTGAAACTGTTCTTAACCTGAGGTACCACTTTAGCTAATGGGGCCTCCCGCTGCTGCCACGCTGCCACCACCGCACAATTTCTGTTCTCATCCTGAAGCAAAGTTCTTAACCCAAGGTACTATTTCTGGGTTAGCGGAGTCTGTAACCTGAGGTGTCAGTAACCCGAGGTACCACTGTACTAGGCTACCAAGCTTTCTTCACCATGGACCACTTGAAAACTGCTGAAGGTCTTGATAGATTTTTCTGCCTGTTGTAGCAATTGTAATGCCTTGTGCTAGGTGCTGTATGATTTTTAACTGTATTTTTACAGACAAGTTGCAGACCACCTGAACAAATCTTGCAGACCACTTGTGGTCCATGGACCACAGTTCAGAAACCTCTGCACTAGGCAAAACTGAGGCTGTCTATCGCAAAACCCTCCTCTCGGCTTTACATCATAGTTGAATTATCCCTAACCATGTTAGACGTATATTGAACTGCACATTATACTTGTATTATTCTGTAACTACCACACATTAGCATGATATTTAATTCCTGCAGTCAGCTCAGCCATTCCAAAAGTATTTATGAAAACATTCCTCTTCCCAACCCACGCATTGCATTACAGGACTATCCACTTCTGTGACAGTGACAATGCAGAGCAACTGAATCTGCATAATCTCTTAATATTCTCAGATCAGAAACAGTTGCTGCAAAGGGATATACTAGATACAGAATAAGCCACAGAATCATCTCCCAGTGAGGCTTATTTGTCCCAGTCTATTGATATGCAGAATGCATGGAGCTGCCAAGGTCTTGCAAATGGAGATGTTGGAGGTGGATGGGTGAGGGGTCTGTGCTAAGCATTGCCTTTTGGTATCTGCTAGAGAGGGAAAGGAGATCCTTACAGGCCGCTGATCAGTCCATCTGTACAGTGAGAAGTAGGTGGCAGGAATGCCGGTCTTGTGGTGTGCCTTTAGATTGCAGCTCTGAAACAATTTGTTCCAGCACTGGACCTACAATAGCCTCAGAGTTTAATAGAGCTTTTCCCAGCTCAGAACACAGACAGCTCTAGTGCACATAAAATCACAGGAAGAAATGACAGACATAAGTGCAATGAAGAGCTGGTACAGGTTCAGAGAGCTTCCCTCTGCAGATGGAGCAAATATGGAGGGGCTGAAGAAGGTGTGGCGTCCAAAGTCAGTCACTGATGAAACCCTTCAGCAGTACATACACACACATAGGATATATTGACGTGCCCCCATAGGAAGCCACCTAACATCAGCTCAGGCTATTTGTTCATCTAGCTCAGTATTGTCAGCTCTGATAAGAAGCAGCTATCTAAAGCCTCAGACTTTAGTCTTCCCTGATCCCTTAAAAAAAATAAAATGTGGTGCCAGCAGTTGAACCTGTGATCCATGAAGAACATGGGTGCTCCATCACTATAGTCTCTCCCAGGAGGTGGAATAAGGAACAACAACAGCAGAATGTTTTCTGCAGGCCCAAGGTAGGCTGCCTCTGAGGCTTCTGAACTTCAGAAGGAAAGCATTAATGACCATTATGGCTCTGCTCTGCCTTCAGCGTCAGTGGCAGTGATGCTTCTGAATACCAGAGCCTTGGGTCCTGCTTTCTGGTTTCCCACAGGCATCTGGGTGGCCAATGTGAGAACAGGATGCTGGACTAGATGGGCCATTGACCAGGCTGCTGTAATGTTCTTTGGTATATCTTGGTAGGATGAAGAAGGAATTAGGCATTTGGGAAAACAAGACTGAAGTCATGATAGGATGTGGAAGAGGAGTGTGCATTGGTTTGTGTGTCTGGGGGGGAAGGACACTAGGCAGATAGGAGCAAAAGGAGAGGACATCTGTTTGAAAACTCTTATGACTTGTAGCTTATACACTTAGAAGGTTTCCTGCTTCTGTAATGTCTAGCTATATTTGGGGGCAGAGTGATTCCTCCTAATACATTAAGATAGATGTGGAGCAATTGCAGTTTATTTGTATCTGGTTTTGTTTTCATATTTATTTATTTAGCTGTTTGCGTCCTGGTCTACCCCACCCCTAGCGATGGTAAGGGAAGAGGTATCCTGGGCTACCAGTTGCAAAGAGCATCCCTGCTCATCTCTATTCTTCCTATTTAAGAGCAACCTAATCAAGATTTTTAGCATTATTTTTTTCATACTTTTTTTCCCATAGAGTTGGAAGGAACCCTAGGGGCCATCTAGTCCAACCCTCTGCAATGCAATCTGATTAATAGAAGGGAACCACACCAGTTTTTAACATGCGAAATGAAAGCAGCATAATTTTGTTTAAGGCATAAAATGCCCCAAGGGTTCTTCTGCTTCTGAGTTAGGATGCCCTATTTTGATGGATGATGCAGTTGTAATCATCCAAGTTGCATCTGCTTGAGGTGAGGCGAAATGAAGGGAAAAGATGGGGAGATGCACCAAAGTTAGCCTCAAATGTGAATAACAGCCCCTGAGATACTTTGACCTTGGTTGTCATGCCAACAGATAGCTCTTCTTCGCTGAAAAGCCATATTCACCCTTAGGGATGGGTGGAGAGTTGAGTAGGTTTTTTGTCTGGGTTTATGAGCTGCTCATCACAATAGGTTGCCAGAGCCCTTTGTGTGAAGCTCAAATGCTTGGGCATCAAGTGTCTTGGAGGCCTTGATGCCCTTCAGAGCAGCTTGCCCTGAATAGTTTCTCCACCCCCTCTAAACTTTCAACTGGGGCAGAATGTTAATGGCCCAATCCCTCCAGCTGGAAGCAGGTTAACAAAAGCAGCCAGTAACTTTTGCCTTCCCCAAAACTGAGATACAGATCCTGGTGGAGGGGGTAGGGGAGACTCCTTGGCCAAAGGATTGGACAGTTCATTGATCCCAAATAAAGACCCAAGCTGGGTCAATTGCCCTCTTTGCAATTGCAAAAAAGTTTATTATTTAGTAAGAAACGAATAGGTGTCTGGTTGCTTAGATTATTGATTGATTGATTGATTGATTGATTGACTGACTGAATTTATATACAGTTAGATGCCGTTAAGTGGACATTCAGACTGTCACAGTTTCAGCAGGATTCAGTTACATGTTGGAAAATCCAGGCTGCACAATTGCAATTGATTGGGAGATCTTGCATAACACAACTCATTTCCTCTAAAGACCTGGTTTATTTGTTTTTGTAGCAATTGGGAAATCTTGCACAACACAGCATGTTTCCCCTAAAGACCCGGTTTATTTGTTTTTGTAGCAATAAAGAAAGTGACAGGGAAATGCACTGGGAAGTGTGGGATAACGCTTGCTTGATGCAACATCATTTAACCTTGCAGCAAACTAATCAGGATGAATGTTACATAAACACGTCATCTGGAAGTGCCCATAATCTCATTTATACGCCTGGGTGTCATAGTTTGCTGGAATATGAGATGTTGCTTCCTTTTGTTAGCAAAAACAAATCATAGTTGTTCATAGCATCTCCTTATCTGAATCATACTCTTTTCCTCTCAGGACACAGTGGAAGCCCAACTGTCCTGTAGTTTTGCCTCACCCTTCTCTCCTCTCCCCGCACCCAGAGAAAAGCTGAATGGAGCATTTCATTCTTCATTCCTGCTTTGTCACCACATCCACTGTTGTTTGGGATGAGGAATGGTTTTCCTGCTCCCTTCTCCCTTTCATATAGAATCTGTACACAGAACCCTTTTATGCAGTATTGATGGGACTGCATGGGATGCTGAGCTGGCTTTCAGAGGCCATCAGGGGACATCTATGAACACAACGTTAAACGTCTGTAGATTCTGAAAGTAAAAGAAAAATCAAAGACAACATGGCTGGTGCTAAGCAAATGCACAACAGATTCCCAAAGCCACAAGTATGAGATCACTTCTTTATATGGTGTGACTGTATTACAGTAGAAGCTGCTCTTCCTAGTCCCCTGTTGCCAACCCTAATGAGCTATAAGGAAGACTTAAGGCTGCAGCCCTAAACAGGTCTACTCAGGAGTAAGTCCCGTTCAGTTCAATGGGGCTTACCCCCAGGTAAGAGGGTTTAGGATTTAGCACTTGTTGTTTAGTGTGCTGTAGCCATTTATTGGACCACACTTCCAATCTCATTAGTGTTTGACTGGAGGCTGTGACCCTGTACCCACTTATCTTGGAGTAAACCACATGGAACTCAAGAGAGACATTCTTCAGAGTGGTGTCATTCATTAACCTCAAAGCAGGTGTAATGCAGGTATCAGTTTAGAATGTAGGACCTAAAGGCCCATTCACATTTATTTATTTTTAAATTTTGTATACCGCCCTATAGCTGTAGATCTCAGGGCAGTTCACAACATAAAATTGCAATATAAAAAACACAAAATACATAATAAAAATAAGAACAAAAGGCCTGGTTGACTTTCAACCAGTCCATGACGAGGGCAAGACAGTGGGCCAGCACATCCACTGCCTCACCTGCAGATGCAAAGGAGAAGTGAAGATGTGTGCCATCAGCATATTGCTGACAACATACTGCACACCTCTTGATAACCCCACCCAGCGGCTTCATGTAGATGTTAAACATCATAGAGGATAAAATTGAACCCCAAGGAACCCCACACTGAAGGCTCCACAGGGCCAAAGAACACTCCCCAAGCAACACCTTCTGGACCCCTCCATCCAAGTAGGACCAGAACCACTGTAAATGCTGCCACCCACCCTTAACTCGGACATCCTCTCAGAGGAATACCATGGTTGATGGTATCAAAAGCCACTGAGAGGTCAAGGAGGACTAACAGGGGCACATTTTCCCTGTCTCTCTCCCGACAAGAGGTCATCGTACAGGGCGACCAAAGCAGTTTCTGGGCCAAAACTGGGCCAAAACCCTGACTGAAATGCCCCTAGAAAATCCGTTTCCCCCAAGAGCGCCTGGATCTGGTCCATGATCACCTACTCAAGAACCTTGCCCAGCAAAGGGAGATTAGCAGCTGGCTGATAATTACTTAGATTTTCGGAATCCATTCAGTTTTCCAAACCATTTGCACATGAATCCTCTCACCAGATTATTATAGGAGTAGAGCATTATGCATCCCATGTGATCAGCACCTCTGCAATCCTGTGAATGACAAGGTTATGAAATCCAGGTTTCTCTTCACAGCAAATGACCAATCTCGCTTTCCAGTGGCATATTCACATATGTTATCTTGGTGTGGGAAACATCTTATAACAAGGAAACATATTGTGTTTTATAGGCACTGGGTGCCTTCTTAGATCAGTGCAGCACTAAGCACAAATTGCCGGGGGAGGCAGTTTAACGTTGCTGTTGTTGTTTTTGCTAGGAAACTCTGATAAAGTGAATCATAGTCCAGGGAAGCTTATACTGTAATACATTTGATAGGCTTTAAGGTACCACAAGATTCTGTTTTGTTTTGAAGTCAAGGACATCTTACTGCTATCCACTAGGAAAAGTAGTTCCCTACATTCTTATCACTGCTTTGACCATTTGATGGAGTGCCCAAACAGGGAAATAGTATTCTGTACCGAGATCTAAGTAGGACGCCATCTCTCTTCTATTGATGACCCTGACCCTGAGCCACTGACAGTGTTCACACATTCAGTGCCAGCCCTGAGTTACTGTCTGTAAAATCCTGGTGCTGTTCATGTCATGGCCACATTGATGAATTAACTAATCAATAAACCACTCACATACCAAAATGGCCTTTAAGCGGTTTCTTAGCAGCCGTTTTGGCATTCATATCCTTGTATAAGTCATTGATTCGCCACCAAAATATGACATGTAGTTCTGTACTTAATGGTACCAAGAAGTACAGATCTGAAACCAGAAGGTCAGAAGTGCATCTTGAAAATTATGATTAGAAGGGGCATACCAGGGCTTTGGGCTGAGAGTTGCATAAAGTAGCTAAATAAAATACAGAAAAATACGTTTTGCCAGCAGTTGTGGAAGTCCTCCCTCCCCCCCCCCCCCAGTTTTATACCCATAGCAATCCTGTGAGGTAGATTAAGCGTAGAGATAATAACTGGCCCAAGGTTATCCAGTAGCACCATGGCTGAGTGGGGATTAGAACCCAGGCCTCCAGGGCCACAGTCTAGCCTTCCAACCACTGTGCTACAGTGGCCTGCACCATGGTGGAGAACTTTGGCTGCATTTCTGGATGTGACCTGACAAGCAGAAAGCCAGCAGGTGGGTCTGGGTGGAGATCAGTGCTGTTTAGATGGGTCTTTCCCTTTCCAAGGCAGACTGAGGATTTCCCCCGCTCCTCCTTCTCCCACTTATGCTGCAGGGGCTTGGGGGGGGGGCTGCTGTTGTAACCCGATCTGGCAGACAATCTCACTCTTGCTTCTCCGCCTTTCAGCTGCCAGAGGTTCAGAGTCCACCGCCTGCAGAGGAGAAGAGGCAGCTGCTGCTATGATCCAGGCACTGGTGCTCCTGTTGCTGGCTGGAAATGGAGCCTCGGCTACCAGCACCAATCCGCGTCTGAAGCTCTCCTTTCATAGTAAGGCGGACATCAAACCAACAGAGAGGATGGATGAGAAGTGTGTGTGTGTGTGTGTGTGTGTGCGCGCGCGCACGTGTAACATTTTCAGAGGAAGTGTGAACCAGGAATGGGTGTTACAGGGGATCTCTAGGGTTTTGAATGGGCAGTCCTCCATAGGTGATGGGGCCATCAATAGGATGTTATGGACAATGTATTTCCATAGAGCAAATCTCAGAAAGACAGGTTTTGAGGTAGTAAGCAGAGAAGCAGAGTTTATGTTTGTGGAGGGAAGGGGTTGATGTGACAGCTATATATATGTTATATTCTGAGCGTTTCCTTCTTATGATGCCCACCTTGCCACTCCTTCAGGGCTCTACCTGCCTCCTATAACATAACAAGTGATATTTACAGAGACACACAAGGTCATGGAGAGCTGTGTATTATTATCCTGATGTTCCAAATTGTAGCTGGTGCACTCAGTGTCCAGCCCGTACTAGGAGTAAGGAAGTGTGGGGCATTTAGAAAGGCACACTCTGTTGCTGTCAAATCAGGAAGAGTTCTGTTCTTTTAATAGTGAGAAGAAAATGGATCCTCCTCCTCCTCTTCTTCTTCATCTTCCTCTTCACATTCATGCGTAGCTAGAGACTGTTTCCTTAAGTTTGCAACACTGCCTCAGATTCATGTGCTGGTGTCATTGAGGTCTGCCTCTGATCCCATATGTTGTGGGGATATGTTTCTTTCAAGTTTAGGAAAGAGATGCATAAGGACTGGCTAATTATGAACACTTGGGGGGAGGGAAGCCAAAATAGAACATTTGTTCATGTCTATATAACACCACAAATTAAGTGGCCGTGCTAGTACTTTACAAGTTTTAAATGACCAGAAAGAATCTGATAAATATTTGATAATGGTCAACAGTACAAGTACATTTTTTAAAATAAAGAACTAGACCGATTATTGGCTAACAAACATATTAAAAGGCTGTTAACCAAAATACTCAGATTGTATAGCTTAGGAATGGACTATTTCTCTGTGTGTTTTCATCTAGAATCCCTGTGATGCACCAATGGATTTTAATATATGAAGTAAGACAGCATGATCAGGATTTCTTAACATTAAGGCATATAAATTAAACTTTAAGCAATCCTGAGCATGTACTCTTGCTTAAAAACATATAGAGCCCCTAGCTGAATGAAACAGGCTTTTTATTATGTATTTTAATTAGTGAAGGTTTAATGCTCTGATGGAATTGTTATGGCATATTTTAATTTCATGTGTGGATTTTCTATAGTTGCAAACCGCTTAGAAGCCATTTGGACATATATATGGTATACAAATTAATAATATTACTGTATTTTTCTGTGTGTAACACGACTCCATGTATAAGACAACATTTCCCTTCTACTGCCGCAGCACCAGCCCTTGCTTACTTAGCATATTAACCCATGTATAAGACGACCCTCAATTTATCACAAAAAAATTCAGAAAAAAATGTCATCTTATACATGGAAAAATATGGTAATAATAATAGGTCAGCAGTCTTTGCAAGAATCGCAACAAGCAGCAAAAACTACTAGATAGTCAACAGCAAAATGGACTTGCAGCCTATTGGTGGAAGACAAAGTCCAACTTCCGCCACACACTCGTGCACACAGCTGTGGCCCTCAGAGTCTTTTCCAACTATACAATTCTCTGATTCTGTGAAACATGCCCCATTCATTAGTCTGCTGGAAGTGATGAGCAGGGACTAAAATATCCTGTTAGTGTTTGAGAATGCTTCTTTTCAAGTAACTGGAAGTGTTTTAGCTATTAGATAGTCCGTTAGTATGATAAATAGACTCTGTACTTATGTGAAATAAGATACAAAAGCATCTCTCGCTAAGAGGGGAAGAAATTCTCTCATGCACTCAGAGATGGTATCATAGAACGTTGCCCTGGAATGGACCACAGAAAGTTGTCTAATTCATTTGCTTGATTTTTAAGGAAAAGCAGATCCGACAAATTGTGTCACTCATTGTTGAAACATCTAGTAATGAGGTTGTATAATCATCATACCTTTGCTAGTTTCTGGGCCTACGCCGCATGCTTCACAGGTTTTCTTCAATAAAGCATTAGATTCCTAGGATGTAGCAGATGTCATGGACACTGGGTACATTTTATTCTGGTGATGAATGGATTCTACCGAAGTGTTATCCTTTGGTAGGGTTCTTTTTGGCACCCCCTTTTACAATGACAAAGCAGCGCTAATGCATTAAGAGCCAGACTAGACTAGTATCAGATTTTTCTACCACTGATGGCAGCAGTGTTGGTGGGGCACTAGTCGGAGTTGCTAGCACAGGTGCAGTCTTTAGGGAAATTTCCCCCAAAATTTATTCTCTTTCTCAAACACGGCCACGCTTTCTTATCTTTTGGCAGCTGGCCAAACCTAATGACATGTTGGAACATCTCATCTTTTGAATGATTTCTAAAGTTGCTAGGCTGCAGCTTTAATTGCCGAGTTACCCCTTATGAAGTCAGTCCTTGAATGCTCATGGCCAAGTCCTTGCAACAGTGCGTCACATGGATTGTGAAGGAAAGGGAAGGCGTGTTCTGCTTGTGGGAATAGAAGGGCACTGTGTTTGGCAGAGGTTGGGAACATGTGGCCATCTAGAAGTGGTTGGACTCCCAGTGCCCATCAGCCCCAGCCAGCATGACTAATGAGCAAGGATAATGGGAGCCATAGTGCAGCAATATATAAGGGGCCACACATTTCACACCCCTAGTGTTTGTGGTACAGGGAAAAAATGGAGAGCAGTTGGGTTGCTTTGAGGGAGTGATATGCAGGCACTCCTTTTGGAGCATTCTGGAAGTGTTTGCTCTTACAGTGGTACCTCAGGTTAAGTACTTAATTCGTTCTGGAGGTCCGTTCTTAACCTGAAACTGTTCTTAACCTGAAGCACCACTTTAGCTAATGGGGCCTCCCGCTGCTGCCGTGCTGCCGGAGCACGATTTCTGTTCTCATCCTGAAGCAAAGTTCTTAACCCAAGGTACTATTTCTGGGTTAGTGGAGTCTGTAACCTGGAGCGTATGTAACCCAAGGTACCACTGTATTCTTATTACTATTCTTATTAATGCTATCCTCATTTATTTGTTGCTTTCCACACACAAAAATCCTCAAAGCAACTTATAGTTTCGTAACATACACACAAAGCATCAATACATTTACAAGGAAAGCATCAAGAAAGGCAATAAAAGCCAACTTTGATCTAAAAACAAAGTCACTCATGCAACAGTATTATAAAAAAGATCATTCCTACCCACCCAATTAAAGAATGTAAACAACGAACCAAATGGAAATCATACTGCGGTATGACCTCAATGAAAAAACCAAAGGCCTTGGTAAATGGGAGTTTCTGTGTAGGAATGCCTAAAAACTGACAGCAATGACACCAGGCTTTTTCCCCCCTGGGGAGGGCAGTTGACAAACAGGAGAGCAAACCATGGTAAAACCCCATTCTCACATTACCACCATCCTCAGAGGGGACACATTAGTGATTTTGGTGCAACCAAAACCAGGCAAAGCTCACCAGATCTCCTTGATCCCTCAGCCCCCAAGCAGCAGTAACTGCTGTCATTGACCACTCACTGACCAGCACCATTCACCTCTTAAACAGCAGTGGGGAACCTCCAGATGACAGGGTTCATTAGGCCCAGCCTGGGTCTTAATCTTCCCCAAGAGACAGTTCCCTGCAAACTGTGTCCACCTGCCGTCGTATGTGATGCCCGGTGTGCGGCAGATAAATATGCAGCTGCAAAGGAGCAATTGGGAGCTTAAAGTGCACTTCTTATTGTTCCTTGGCAAGTGGGGCGAACAGCAGTGACCCCCGCTGATGAATTCTGACAGGGACGGCCTTTGAAATTGTCTCTTTGCAGGTGGTTTCGATCCAAACAGTTCCTGCAACTGAACAATTTCCACCCGCAGACCAGCTTTGTGATGGTCTTTGTTGGAGTGCAGAGGGGAAATGTCTATTTTCAGGTGCAGTTTGAATCCAAGTCACACCTGCAAATGAACAAAGCGAAGGCTGGCTGTCAGCACCACATAGACAATTGTTGTTGACAGCAAGCCCCTTTGATGTCAGAGGGGTGGCCCTGCCAATTGTCCAAATGGCCCATGTGAGATAGGAAGGTGAGGATCCAGCCCACCAGCCAGATAAACTTCCACACCCTCACCCTAAAATATCTAAAACTGGAGACTTAGCATCAAAACAATATGAAAATAACTATGTGCTGCAGTTAAAAATATGCCAAACAGTGGAAAAGGCTATTTCTGCTTCCCAGGCAGACAAGACAAAGTTCTTTTTATTCCATCCTCTTTGACATCTTTATTTTCAACCTATTGTTTCATAAAAAGCCTCTACTGAATTTCCTATGAGTGACAGAGAAAGCAAGCTGGCCAGCTTATCAGTTCACCAGGGATTAATGTGATTAAAAACCAATTCTCAAGAAGGTGCTAGATAAAGTGTTTCCTTGTCTCTCCCGGCCACACTCCTGCACTCCCTTTCCTCCTCTGTGTGCTCATTCCCTTTCTCTGCAGACTATGAGGAGGAGAGGTGAAATGTAAACATACAGGTAGAAGACACAGGTGTGTGGCTGGCTGCCTTGCTGGCTAGCCAGGTGCAGAGCCGTGTTTCTATGCAAAGAGAAGCAGATGTGTAGATTTTGAAGGTCACAGTCAATAAGCTCACTACAATTTCGATTTCACTTTAAATGATCAATGCAGGGACATGAGAATGAAGCCTCCTTTCAAAGCAGGACCAACAAGAGGAAAAGTCCAGGGTAGCCTGATTTTTCTCCTGTGAAGAATGTGCTCATTAGCTTTTTCTCTTACCAAACCCAGCACTTTGGTGTGGGCTCTGCGGCTTCATTGCACACATGGGACTCCTTGATGGCAGAGACACTCCCATTCATGTCAGTGGAGGGACATGCAACCCATGGTTATTGTTGTAAGATTTTTTTATCCATCCTTCAGCATAAGCCCCAGGGGAGGCTACAACAATGTAAAAATACAATACAGTGGTACCTCAGGTTACAAACGCTTCAGGTTACAGACTCCGCGAACCCAGAAATAGTACCTTGGGTTAAGAACTTTGCTTCAGGATGAGAAGAGAAATCGCGTGGCGGCAGCGGGAAGCCACATTAGCTAAAGTGGTACCTAAGGTTAAGAACAGTTTCAGGTTAAGAACAGACCTCCAGAACGAATTAAGTTCTTAACCCAAGGTACCACTGTATTAAAATCAGTCAAAACAAGCTACAATCAAAAGAGCGTGTCGTTTTTTGCCGTAAGCCTGCATGCGAAGTCGGTGGCTGCCACTGTTCATTCAAATATTTTGCAAAGGGGTGCCATATTTTGATGTGATAACTTTGTCCACGTCTGATGCGCTATTCAGGGCATGCACCCTTATTGTCATTTTTTCAGATAAAGCCATACATTGTGTTGCCATTGTGAGATATGTAGGTGTTCAAGTCTTTTCCAGTTCTGTGCTCTGAGTAGTCGTTGTTTACATACCCTCCAACATTTATCTGATGAAAACAGGGGCATCCTGTTCTATTATTATTATTATTATTATTATTATTATTATATTATACCCCATCAGACTGGGTTACCCCAGGCACTCTGAGCAGCTTCCAAATTATATAGAAACTAAATAAAACACTGAACATTAATAACTTCCCTATTCAGAGCTGCCTTCAGATGTCTTCCAAAGGCTGTATAGTTACTTATCTCCTTGGCTCGGGAGGGTCACATAACTCCATACCCTCCAACATTTCTCTGATGAAATAGAGACATCCTAAGGAAAAGTGGGGCATTCTGGAATCAAATCAGAAACGGGGATGGCTCCTGTAAATCTGGGACTGTCCCTGGAAAATAGGGGCACTTGGAGGTTCTGTGATTAAAGCAGATAGGCCAGGAAGGGACATGCAGGACTAGAACTAGGTAAGGGGAAGCAGTTGTGCTAAGCCAGGCCAGCTCAGGTTTTTCCATGCCCATCTGTGGCCCAGCCAGAGGTCAATACCAAGCCACAGAGGAGGGAGATGGCATGGAGAGGAGGCCATGTTGCTTGTCTGGTGCTGCTGGACTAGAAGAATATGTATATCTCAAGCAGACTCAAGCCAAGGAACATGGAGTGGGGGGGTTGGGTGGGGTTGCAGATCAGGCCGTGACCTCCCTCTGGACCCTGCGCACCCTGTGCACCCGACATGGGCAGCAGCTCATTAGCGAGTGGATTGCTCCCCTGCCAGCCACTTTCTTCCCCTTCTCCACAATGGCTTATTTGTTCCTGCTGCCGAAAGCAGATTAGGCTCTCTGCAGAGAGAAAGGGCCCTTTCTCTGCGCAGATGCCTGTTGTGCTGGGAGATTAACGTCACGCTGTTGTTGAGGCTGCTAACCTGTTAAAGCTGGTGGAACAGATCAGGGAGCGGGCTTGAAAGGTGGGTGTAAGAGGACACAGGCCACAGACGGGGTGCGGGGTGGGGGTAGGGTGGGAAGACGAAATCGGCAGAAGCCCCCCGACCACCACCCAGCCTACTCCCCGCTCACTGCTTGAATGGTATGCAGCCAGAGTAGGTTCGTCAGAAACTTGAGGCTTGGGAATGTCTACAGGACACCACCTGCATTTCCAGACGTCAGCAGCATCTACTGGAGCACTGGGGCTGCAGATCTGCATTTTCAAATCTGTTCACCACCACCTAGTACAGTGGTACCTTGGTTGTCAAACTTAATCTGTTCTGGGAGTCTGTTTGACTCCTGGAACCGTTCGAAAACCAAGGCACAGCTTCCTACTGGCTGCACATCTTTATCTGTGTGATAAGGGTGAAGGTCCATTATCATGTCTCTGTTAATAATAGCTCCATGTTGTTGCTTGGCCACAAAGTTCAAGGGATAAATGATGGTTATCATTTCCTCCAAAATATGCAGAAGTAAGATGGGGCTTAATTGTGATTTACCCTATACAGCTCTCTGGCATCTAAGCAATGGGTGTGGAAATCTCCCACACAGACAAGAGTAATTGGGACACTAGCATAACTGACAGGAGACCAGTGTTCCAAGTCTTGGCTCTACAGATGACCTTTATGTGATCTTGCCCAAGACAAGGCCCTCCCTCTAGGCCTCTGAGCTCTTCACACCTTTCTCTTTGTTCAGACTGAAAGTTTCTTGGAGTAGGAGAAGGACTCCCTTATCTGGCTGCACACATATAGCAGGCTTTTATGGGCTGCACAGTCATAATAACTATGTCATCACATAAGCAGAACGGATATCCCAGTATCCTTGACTATCAGAGGCCTTCAGATTACAAGGGAGTGTCAGGAAGAGGATTTTAAGGATGCCATCTCTCAGATAAACTCAGGCCATATCCACGCATTGTATTTAAAGCAGCATTATGCCACTTTAAACAGTCCCCAAATAACTCTGGGAACTGCAGTTTGTTAAGGGTGCTGAGAATTTTTAAAAAAATAAATTAATTTAATTTTCAGATTTTTGAGTTTACAAACAATTGTCAAACAACCAAAACAAAAAGAGAATTCCATAAATTCCCATGGACTTCCCTCCTCCCTTTTGTGGGTCCTTATGTTAACTTCTTTCCTCCTGCAACTTCTCTGTTAATCTAATTCTATTAAATCTCCAGTACAACCGTTGTCATATCCCTTGTTATGGTTGCTGATAATTGTTAGGAGACCCCTGTGATTCCCAGAGTGGCTTAAGTCAATCCTTCTTCCCAGGGAACTCTGGGAATTGTAGCTTTGTGAGGGGAACAAGGGTCTCCTAACAACTCTCAGCACTCTCAACAAGCTACAGCTCCCAATATGGCATTGGGGGAAGCCATAACTGTTTTAAGCTGCATAAACATCCTCTGGAATAGGGAAATGGCCACGTTTAACAGAGTGCAGCTTTGTTTGTTTATTTCAGCATTTATGCCTCTCCTTTCAACTCCTGAATGCAGTTGTAACAATAAAAACCAATTTAAAAAGCAGAAATTGTTTGCACTTCGCTTAGGTGCCTTATGTTGTATTCAATTGACTCCAGCTGATTCTCTCTAACTTTGCGAATGCAGATGGAGTTGTGCGTAACACGCAAGTGATTGTGGTTCATCTCCCTCCTTTTTCCTCTCCAGATTTGCGACTGCGCCACGGACTGCGCACTTATGAGCTGGAGCGCTCCTGCTGCTACGACTCGCTGCTGCTGGATGAAGAGAGGGGACGGCTCTTCGTGGGTGGGAAAAACTACCTGGCTTCCCTGAGCCTAGACAACATCAGCAAGCAGGACAAGAAGGTAGCCTGGTTCTGTTTGCCTGGGGCTTCCCACCAAAAATAGGGCAAGGGTATCTGGACATGTCTTTTTCCCTCTCAGACTCGGACCTGTTATTGTAAACCACCCCAGAAATTCTGAACTGAAGGACAATATGGAAACTTTGGGTGGTGTTCCACCAAGCTTTACTCAGAAGTTAATTAACCTACTAAGTTACATTCATTCATTTCAATAAGTAAAACTTAGCTGAATACCACCCATTTAAAATAAATGATGACATTGGGTTGTACCTTACACTGGTATTAATGGGCAGAAGATAATGATGTCTAGTATTTTCAATGGATCTGCTTTGAGTAGGACACCAATATTGGATGCAATCAATAGAGTTATTATGTTCTCTCTTCAACTCCCTCCTCTGCTCCTCAGCCTTTAGTAGTGCCATTTCCCCACTCGCTCGTCATGACAACGGATCCCGCATTCCAGACTCCTCCGTGAAATCTTCTATAATAAACTTCCCTGTTAATGGAGTTGGAAAGAGGGTGGGTTGAGGCTGCTGACGCCCTTACCGCTGGGCTGTGGACGAAAGCCGCATTCCTAGCCCAGCAGGGGAAACTCTTTGGGAGCACAATACAGCCACCGCCAACCCTCTGCTCCTGGAGCATTTGCACTTCTTTTGCCGGTATGGCTGGAAGACGGGGCATAATTCACTGGCAGAGCACATGCTTGGCATGCAGAAGGCCCCGGGTTCATTCCCTAGTATCCACAGGCAACACTGGTTACCTGTCTTAACATCCTAGAGAGCTGCTACTACCAGTTAGTGTAGATGACTCAATGGTCTGACTCAGAACAAGATAGTTCCTGATATTCCTTAGTGACACAAAATGGCTGTCTGCTCTGCTGTCTGTTTTCTTTGCACACAGTGAACTAACGGGTCTTGTGGGTCAGGTTTGGTTTCCTCAACATGTACAAAGCTTCATGGCAAAAGACTTACAGGCTGTCTTTCCCTTTACTACAGTGGTACCTTGGGTTATGAACTTTATTTGTTCTGGAGGTCCATCCTTAACCCAAAACCGTTCTTAACCTGAGACACACTTTCGCTAATAGGGCCTCCTGCTGCCACCATGCCACTGGCGCACAATTTCCGTTCTCATCCTAGGGCAAAGTTTGCAACCCAAGGTACTACTTCCGGGTTAGCGGGGTTTGTAACCGGAAGCGTTTGTAACCTGAGGTACTACTGTACAGGGTAGTATAGGGTATATGGGTGTGGCATTGTTCCCATTTGCAAGGATCATTGGATCAAAGCTCATGACATGCTGTGGAAGCAAGCACTACTTCCAGCTAAACTCAGTAGAATGAGGGCCAGAATAGTGGAACACACAGATCCAAGGAATTCGGTTGCAGTGACTCCTGGCATGCAAAGTATCCCCCAGCTTAGCCCTGGAATATCAATCTTGCAGTTCATCACTTACATGAACCTACCCAGGCCTTAAAATCAGCCTCTAAGGCCCTGCCCACTGTGAAGAGCCAGCAGACTGGTAGGTACTAGAGACATGGCCTTTTCAGTAGCGGTATAATATCTTTGGGACTTTCTCCCAGAAGTACGCAGGACTCCATTTTTTCTGTGTTTTGAGCATATTGTAAACACTTGCTTGTTTCAAACTACATTATATTAAGAGAGTTTTAAGTGGCATTTTAAATTCCTTTAAACTGCTGGTGTTTTAGGGTATACTTTTGTCACCAGAGGTCCCCCCCTTGCCCCCGAATGGGACATAGAAAAATGTACAAAGCCAGAGGTGGGCCTTATGGCTCCTGTTTATTTATTTGTTCTGTTTATATATTCAAAATCCTCATACACCACCTTTCCAGGCAAAGACAACTTTAAAAAGATAATTAAAACCATACAATTTTATTTTATTTTAAATCAAAACAAAACACTCTGGCGACAAAAGTATACCCTAAAACAGCGGCAGTTTAAAGGAATTTAAAATGCCACTTAAAAGTCTCCTAATATAATGTAGTTTGAACCAAGCAAATGTTTACAATATGCTCAAAACACAGAAAAGATGGAGGCCTGTGTCAAGTCTCAAATACCAAGGAGACAGGTGATGGACAGTGAGTAAAGGAAGCCAGGAGCATTACAACTAAGGGTTGGTTAAAAACAAAACAAAAAAACTATCAGCATTTTTAGCAGCATTTGACTAACTTCAAGTGTGATGAATGACTATGCTAGGAGCCCATTTCTTAAAATACAAAAATATTTTGGCAAATGATCTTTGCCTTATCTTTGTTCTCACAGATTTACTGGCCAGCGCCTGTGGAATGGAGGGAAGAATGCAACTGGGCAGGAAAAGACATCAATGTAAGTGACCCATTTGGATGGGGAGGGAAAATCCTTTGCTCAGCCCCTATGTGAGTTGGGGCATAAAACAAAGGAGGATAAGGAGCATCAGGAAACGCGATGTGAGTTGCTTGCTTTCCAGAGCGAACATTTCAATTGACTCCTCATCAAGCAGGGCATGGAGACTTCTCTGAGTTGTCCGACCACGATGAGCTGAGGCAAAACTGATACGTGATAGCAGCCTTCCCCTCCCAGTAATTCACCCATGACCCTTCATTGCATCTTGCTGTTTTCATTGAGTATCTTGCTGTTTTCTCTGTCTCTCCCTGGCCTCGCAGACAGCACCATCATGCCCCAGCCCTGGATAGAGGCCCCAGGAGGCCTTGGGAGTCATGTTGCTGGGAAGGGACCGGTTGGTGCACTTAAGAGATTCCTGCTTAGCTGTGACCCATCCTGACCTCCCAGGAGATAAGAGGAGGGTTCCCACCATTTTGGCAGGAGCAGAGATGAACCAGGACACAGCCAGATTTTGCTCCTTGATAACGTTGGGCCAGCAGCATGAAGGGGTCTCGGTCACCTTGGCTATAATTCTTACAGGTTGTCCATGGAAGGAGCGGTGCTGTGTCAAGCCTAGCAATGTGAGCTTTGTGAGCTGTTGGGTTTATCTCCCCTAACTTTGGAGAGCAGTCTTGGGTCACCGTTTTCTTTCAGGATTGCCTGGTCAACTTGGAAGTTCCCATTGAGGCTGTTTGGCGCAGCTTCCAGTGAAGGGCACGAGAGGACAAAGGGGCAGCCTGTCTCCCCCTTGGATTTTGCCAGTCTCTGTTTAGAATACTGCTCTAAGCCCTGAAACAGCATATGTAAGCAAAGTTTGCCCTCGCCCAAGAAGGTTGAAAGAGAGGTAGGGTTTGTGGGCTTTAGGACTAAGACCTTGGGCACATCCAGCTGACTGTAATTTTGGAGACTCATCCAGGCTTCCTTTTGTGCCATGTTTCTGTGCTTTAAAGTTCCATTACCAAGCAGGGTTTTTTTTTGGGGGGGGGGGTTGTCCTGGCACTTTCCCAGGGAAAACCTGTGTTTTTCTGCAGAATTGGATCAAACTGCAATTAGGTTTCCCCACAGGTTGTCATTTGGTAAAATGGGGGTTTGCTTAGGGAAAGTGCTGGGACAAAAGAACAAAACAAAAACACTTGAACATGGAGCTTTTTTAAGCGTGGCCCTGTGGCTGGAAAGTGGCACAGAAGAAAGGCTGGGTGAGCCCTGAGTGCGCTGTTTCAGTCCTTCAGATCCTCACAGTTGAGGATCCATGCAAATATTTCAACAGCTGATGGGGTTGATGTGACAGTCATAGGACCTGTGTCATTCATGCAACCGCCTTCTCCATTCATCACATAGATCCACAAGGGGAAGTGAGACGTGCCTCTGCTTCCGGTTATGGGCTGTGGGATAGGAAAGTTGCCATCCTTAAGGGAACTCCGGCACTATGCACTGTTATGAATTGCTGTTGGTACTTTGACCTGGTGCAGAATGCCATGAAAAAGTGTGATGTGGTCATGATGACCTAATTCCTGTGGTTAATTATTTGCGTGATGGACAATAGCCTAGTGTGGAATCAGGCAAAAGTGTTCTATGCATGTGCATACAGACACTGAAAGCAACTCTCTGAACAAGGCAAAGGAAGGATTAGCAACATCCTGAGTCAGACCATTGGTCCCTCTAGCTGAGCTCGGTCTGCAGCAGGGGTAGGGAACCAGTGGTCCATCAAGTATTACTAGACTACAACCCCATAATCTCTGACTATTGGCCATGCTGGCTGAGTTGGAGTCCAGTAACACCTGTCTGACCACAGGTTATCCACCGTTGGATTGCAGGGACTGGCAGTGGCTGTCCAGGCTTTGAGAACAGGGCTATATCCCAGCTGAACCTACATTACAGACCTTGAACTTGGGACCTTATGCATGCTAAACATGTGGTCTCCCACTGAACGATGGCCCTTATTCATCATAGAGGAAAGAGGCCTAGAGAGATGGCTCATTTGCCAAAAGTGAATGGAGCTAGGAGTTTTCAGCAACACGGCCACAGTCAGGAAGATGTTGCAGTGGGGGAACCAGGACCAGTGCCTGTACAAGAGCTGCTCTGTGTCCCTTCACTCTTGTTTGAAGCAGAAGCAATTTGTTGCAGAACCACTGTGGCTGAAGAGCGAGTGACAATGCAGTAGCAGCACCACAGACGCATCGGCAAAGCCAAGAGCTGAGCCCCCGAGGCTTAGTGCTATATTCAGCCACTCCTCCCCAGTTTTTGTTTCGGACACAAGCACCGCTGACCCTGTTGAAGAGGGGTGGGGAGATCAGCACCTCTGTGCGCTACTGAGCGAGAGTGGGCTGTGGGGCTTCCTGAAAAGCAGCTGGTGGGAGGAGGAGAGGCACTGGCAAGACACCTCTCTCTCTCTCTCTCTCTCTCTCTCTCTCTCTCTCTCTCTCCATCCCTCCCTCTCCCCACTCCTCTCTCTGATGGTTCCCTGTCTCCTTTTCTCTCCCTGTCAACAGCTCTCCATATTCAGGCTGCTTTATCCATCAGGGCAAAAGGGCAGGAAAACAAAAAGTCCCAAGGTTGTTTTTCTTCCTGGGCTTGCTCAAGAGTGATGATAGGGGCTGTAAGAGCCCCAGGCCTGTTTACTCAAGACCAGCCCAGCAGTGGGTGGGTAGGATGCTCTGCAAATGGTTTAGACCCCAAGGACTGCTTTGGAGATGACATTTGTGTGCATGTGTTTGTAAGAGGGGAAGAGAGGGAAAGGGAGACTTTGAGCATTCCCAACCCCCATCACAACTAATAAATCCTCAAAGTACCAAACCCAGCACTTCCAGCTACTCTTATATGCTGGCAGATTTGCAGGCTTTCAATCGTGTGAATATCACACGCACGATTGTGCCCTTTAGCAGAGTATGTGCCTAACCAGTGGCAGTCTCGTATTAAATGAATCAGATGCAAAGTGTGGGAAGACCCAACCCAATTTTTTCTCTCTCTCTCCATTTTAAAAGGAGCAGCATATTCTAAGCAGAGAGCAAATCTGACAGGGGGAGGCATCTTCAGAGAATGGGAGTAAATAATGGGAGACACCCCCTTTTGTTGTGCAAATCATTTTAGAGGCAGAGCAATTATCACCAGAGTGCACAAAAAAATCCCCATATATATTGAGCTGTGATAATGAGCATGTGTAAGAATAGACTTGGTCCGGTGCGCAGGCTTCAGAGAAGAAGCTTGCTGGCTTTAATGGGACTGGGAAAGGGTCCAGGGCTTATTGGAGCTTGGCTGTCTTTATGGTTGGAAGTTCATTTAAATTCAGTGCTAAGGATTGACGTTCGCAGGCTAGGTTAAGCATTAACGGAGCATAAGCTGCGAGATCACATTCTTGCCTTTCCATCTAAGTAGGAGTTAAGCGGGGAAAGCAGAGCAGGTGCTAAGAGGAAGGCAACACTATGGACTCACCCACATTTACCTTTTGCCCCACAGTTTCTAGGCTTTAAAGCGCCATGTCTAAGTCCTTTGGGCACTTTCCCCCATGAAAACCTTCACTTTAACGCTGAGTCAGAACAAATGGCAATTTCCCATTTGCTCCAACTCGGTGATAACTCAGTGGATTTTCGTGGAGACAGCACCAGGACAAAAAAAAAAGTACTAGGTCACGGCGCTTTAAAGCATTGATTTCTACCTAGAAACAGAGCACAAAAGGAAGTTTGGATGAGCCCTAAGAGAGAGCGGGGCGGCGGGGTTGAAGGACACAGGGTGTGTTCGCACCACAAAGCACATGGCATTCACCTAAGAATCTCAGGAACAGTAGTTTGTTGATGGTGCTGGGAAATGTAGCCCAGTAAGGAGGAAGCGACAATTCCCAGAGGAAGTAATGTGCTTTCAGTGTGTCCTTTTCTACCACAGTGGTTTCAAAGTCACTCTCTGTCAGTGGCTGGCTTTTGCTCAAGAACCAGTTTTCTTCCAAGTTAAACCCCTGGTCCTTCTTTCTAAGCATCGTCTGCAGCGAGTGGCAGCAGCGAGTCAGCATTTCAGGATTGTGCCTGGTGCCATGGGATTGCAAAGCATGTGATCTGGTGCTGAGCTACCAGCCGAACTTGCAACCTGACCCAATTCATGCTGAATTCATGGCGTTGAGAGTCCGCTGCTGCTTCCCAACCCTCTCCTTGTATGCCCATTGCATGCCACAAGGGCCGTTTGCCACATTATTGCTCCCTAGGACTCGTCATCTCTGTGACAGATGGCTTGAAGAAGATGGGCAGACACTCAGTGGCACATGTCCAGCCTCTGGAAGAGCAGTTGGGGAAGCAGAGAACATCTGGGAACATCTGGCCCGTGACTGATGCATTGATCCATCCGTGTTGCATCTGGCTCATTTCCCTTAACCATTAGCTGCACAGCTGGACAGCCCAAAGGGGGTAAGGGAGGCCAAACCCTTTCTATAGATCAAGTATTATTCTGAAGTTTCAGTTTTCCTTGGCCCAAATAAGAAAACAAGCTCTCAGATGTTGTCTTCCCCAGGGGGAAAGGCATGCACCTGGACAGCTTTTCCAGATGGGGAGGTTTTGACTATAGAAAAGGCACAAGTGCAAGGTGGCACACTGATGCCACCATTTGCGGCTGCAGACTGCTAGATTTCTATAGAAGGGCCGTAGCTCAGGGCTAAAGCATCTGCCTTGCAACCAGAAGACCCCAGGTTCAACCCAGGCATCTCCAGGTAGGGTCGGGAGAGACACCTGCCTGAAATCCTGGAGAGCCACTTCCAATCAGTGTAGGCAATACTGAGCGAGATGCTCCAATGGTCTGACTCTATATAAGGCAGTGCCCTATGTTCCTAAGTAGGGATAGCGTTGATTGCAGAGGGTTCCCTCAGTTACCCAGCATTTAACTCTGCCACAGTCACCTTGGTGCAAACAAACTGGGTGAGTGAACAGGAGAGTTTTGTGTGCAAGAGGTGAGGAGGGACTGAGCCTGTTGATTTGGGGGTAAGTTTGTGTTTGAGGCTCTGATTTGCCCCGGGGGTTGGATTGGGCCACTCATCAGTGGTTTAGGCAGTCAGTGCCTAGGCTCCCTTGTGCCCTTGGCAAGGAGACATGGGTGTAGCCAAGGGGGGACAGCTGCCCCCCATCAATAAAAATCGATAAAATACATAGCAAACTGAGGTTATGCCCCCTCTAACAAAAGACCTGCCTCCCCCCAACAAAAATCCTGGCTACACCCCTGCAAGGAGATGTACTGGTGTGGAGAAGCTCAGTCTTTTGCACCTCCCCTGGGCCTTTGTTGGGGGCCAACCTAGCCAGCCCCCAGGTACACCCCTGGCAGTCACCTGGGGACTAGTGTTGGGTGGGGCAGAGAGGCAGAGCAGCAGGTGTGACCTTGTACAACAGGCTGCATTACAGCAATGTAGGACAGATGTTTCTCAGTGCGCCACTGCCCCACATCCTCCTTGTAGGCAAGCAAGAGGCATGGCCACAGTTCCAAGAGCTTCTCCACCCATGGATGAGATAACTGCCAAGGTCCTTTCCAACTCTGAAAGTCTGTGGGAGGAATTCTGATCCTTCTGTTGGTGCAAGTATTTCTGCTTGCCAGAGAGAATGAATCTCCCTGTGTCCTGTTCTGGGGGTTCTGCTCTGCGCTGCAAAGCAGATTGAGGGGACTCACGAGAGGGGGAGCCCCATGGCACTGTACTGGCTTCTGCCAGCAGGCCAGGTTGGTTGAATCCTGTGGTTCTAGGTGCATGACTGTTGGAGCTTCATGCCATGCATTTGCTTTTATAGTCACCCCCACCCCCAAATTATTATCTCGCAGGCATTTCAGTTACTTCCAGTATTTAATCTTATCAAGCAAATTAGCCTGTGCTTGGCCTTGGCTTTCATTTTTACACCTGATCAGTCACTGATAATAGCATGAAGAGCTGCTGGAAATCTTCCCATGATTTGCCTGGTGTTTGCTATATCCTGCTTTATGGTCATTGCTCCATCTTATCTCCCCTTTCCTTATCCCAGCCTTCTTTCCTTTTGAAACTAACTTTGCACAAATGCCAAAACTTTTCCACTGACGGGGAGCTCTTTTCCATCTTGCAGAATTTTGTCTATTCTAATATGCCTACTTCACACATTTGGGGAGTTTCTGGATCAAAGTTATTGATGGGTATATGGAGGCAATTCCATGGTGGTGGTGGTGTTGATAAAACCAAACACTTCCAAATTCCAGAGGAGTGTGTGCATGTTGCATGTGTGTGAAAGAGGGGTTGGGAGTGTGGGGAAGGGAGGCAGGAAACTATGAGGAGTAAACTGAAGGGAAAGGGAAAGGGAAAGGGAAAGAAAGTGACAACTCAACCACTCTCTTGTAAAGCACATCTTGCAGGACCCCTCAATTCATCTTTCCTGGTTTTGAAGTTTGCAAACCACTGAAACTCCAAAGCTGAACACAGAGCCAGTGATCAGACTGTAGCTTGAACTCTGGCCCACTCAATCCCAATGCAGTCCTTGCAGCCAGGGTCAGTTCATGTGGTGCCTGCTACGACTCCCACCATCCTTGACCATCGACCAAGCTGCCTGGGGCTGATGGGAGCTGGAGTCCAAGAACACCTGGCAGCCACCATGTTTGCTCCCCTTGCATGAAGCATTGCTCTGGAATTTAGTTCCTCCATGTAGAGCTGGCACAATCTGCTGCCTGAAACCCTGGAGAGCCACTGCCAGTCAGTGTGGGCAACGCTGAGCTAGATGGGCCAGTGGCCTGACTCAGAGTGAGGGAGCTTCCTGTGCCCCCCTGGTTCTGTGCTCCCTTCTCCTCCTCCCCTCTTCCTCTCTTGCCTGTAGGTTTCCTTGCTTGCTGCCATTGCTACTTGTTTGCTGAGCCTTCCCTGATCCCCACCCACTGCTCTTGGCCACTTGTGGAGTGGCTCTTTTTAGCATTTTATTATTATTATTATTTTGCTTTGCCTGCTTAGGTCGGCTTGTTCTCAGTTAGCCTTCAAGAGAAGTCTCTGCGGTGTTTGTCTGTCTCTTCCTGCAAGGTGCCTGGTGGTGCTGGATGGGATCCTGACTTCCTCCCCCCCCCCTCCCCTGGGGCTCATATAACAAGAGAGTATCACTTCTGCCTGAGTTATTCCAGACATTTAAATAATCAGCCACTTTCTAAGGGGCAGGAGTGATCCGTCAGTGGCTAATTGTGCTCAGCAGCAAGTCAAACAGATGTTCCCCTCCTGACAGGCCCTGAAAGGGAGGGGCTGCTGGGGAGGCTTGCTTTGTAGGAGGGAGGCAGCGGCTTCTGTGGCATGAGCAGAGGTCTTCGTGTCTGCAGGTGACAGGCACAAAGCCACTCAAGCTTAGTGTGATGGAACGGCTGCTTCCTACGGCACCCTCTGCCGGGAGGTGAAATGTGCAGAAACTCCCAGTCCACCACGGACACCCCCATTCCTTCCCGCCCAGTGTGGGAAATTCTGCACAGTCCCAGAGGGAAAGAGAGGCTCCCACATGCTCTGGCATCTCAGCAATGTCAGGGGAGGCCGTCCAGAGGCAAGGGAAGGACCCACACTGCAGATGCCTGAACCACAGGCCAGCAAAAGCTATGCGCTGCTCTTCCTGCGCACACCTTGCTGAGGCCTCTCCTCCTTCTCCATTCCCAGCCTGGCCTGCCCCACAAGACATTCTTTCTGGCAGCAGAGGAGGCACATGTGAAATAAGGATCTGGGTGGGAAGTTGCAGATAGGGATGCGAGAATCATTTTTACATTCCTAACATCCGTCCAAGGCCCTTAGCAGCTCCCTTTCTTTGAGGTCCAGCTCCGAGGGCCTTCAGGTGGTTCCCTCACTGAGAGAAGTGAGGTTACAGGGAACAAGGCAGAGGGCCTTCTCGGTAGTGGTGCCCACCCTGTGGAACACCCTCCCATCAGATGTCAAGGAAGACATCTGAAGGCAGCCCTGTTTAGGGAAGTTTTTAATGTTTGATGTTTTATTGTGGTTTTAATATCCTGTTGGAAGCCACCCAGAGTGGTAAAACCGCCCAGAGTAATAAATTATTATTATTATTATTATTATTATTATTATTATTATTATTATAGCTGCTGGTGCCTCTGTGTTGTGCCCATCCCTCTCCTTATGCAGCATCTCAAGCCTTTGAGCCTGCAGGCATCTGGTTGGTCACTGGAAGCACAGGGTGCTGGGCCAGCTCTTCTGCAGGCACCCCCTGGGCCCACTCCGTAACTGGCCTCGCTCTTGTCTTGCAGGCCGAGTGCATGAACTTCGTCAAGATCCTGCACCTCTTCAACCGGACGCACCTGTATGCCTGCGGCACTGGGGCCTTCCACCCCATTTGTGGCTTCGTAGAAGTTGGGCAGCGTGCAGAGGTGAGCCAGGCATGGAGGTTCATAGGGTGGTCTCTACTGAGGTGAGCCAGAATGGCTCGAGCCCCAGGCTCTGCTCTCTGGCCTCTCTTACTGGCACGTCCCTCCTCCCTCTCTCTCCAGGACTCTGTGTTTAAACTGGAGCTGAAGAACTTAGAAGATGGCAAAGGCAAAAGCCCCTACGACCCACGTCATGTGGCCGCTTCAGTGCTGGCAGGTAAGGGACCAGGCCCCTCTGCTCAAAATCTAGTGATAACTCCCTCCCTCCACCTTGGATGGCTTTAAAAGAGGAGGGTAAGTTCATGGAGGGTGGGGCTGTTGGTGGCTACCAGCCACAATGGTTATGTTCTGATTTGATGGCCGGAGGAAGCAGTGCTTATGAATGCCACTTTCTGGAAACCACAGGAGAGGAAAGTGCTGTTGTCACAGGCATCTGGTTGGCTCCTGTGAGAGCAGGGTGCTGGACTGGGTGGGCCACTGGCCTGATTCAGCAGGGCTCTTCTTATATTACAATATAAGAATAAGAATACAATGGTACCTCGGGTTAAGTACTTAATTCATTCCGGAGGTCCGTTCTTAACCTGAAACTGTTCTTAACCTGAAGCACCACTTTAGCTAATGGGGCCTCCCGCTGCCGCTGCACCGCCGGAGCACAATTTCTGTTCTCATCCTGAAGCAAAGTTCTTAACCTGAGGTACTATTTCTGGGTTAGCGGAGTCTGTAACCTGAAGCCTATGTAACCTGAAGCGTATGTAACCTGAGGTACCACTGTATAAGAATAACAGAGTGATTGTGTGGGATGTCCAATAAAAACACAGCCAGCACTCAACACAGAGCATACATTTAAAGAGCATCCTCTCCACCAAAAGAATAATTGGAACTGTAGTTGGAACTGTAATCCTCATGGAGCTACAATTCCCAGCACCCTTTACAGTTCTTTAAACGTATGGTGTGCATGCAGCCGTTGTCTCATCCAAGGACTCATGAGTCCCTAAAGCTCTTCCGGCATTTGCCAAGTGGAGACTGCTCTCCATCTGATGTTGGAACAGCTTGCATCAGCCAGCACTACGTGCTGAGGATGCCACTGCTGGTGTGGCTGGCGGCACATTCTCTTTTGGCTCCAAGCACCCTCTGAGCAAGGCTCCAGGAATGGCAGCTGCTGCCTCCCAGCCTGCCTGCCTGCCTGCCTGCCTAGGAGCTTTCCTGCCTTTAAAGAGCAGAGGACGTTTCAGGGGAGACGAATCCTGCACGGGGTACCAGAGAAAGAGTACCTGGGACATGTTCCAGTATACAGATCCCACGACGAAGCCTTTTAACCTCTGTCTTTTATCATTCTGTGGTCGCCAGGTGAAGAGCTCTATTCTGGGGTGGCTACTGACCTGATGGGCCGCGACTTCACCATCTTCCGCAGCCTTGGCTCAAGACCCTCTATCCGCACGGAGCAGCATGACTCCCGGTGGCTCAACGGTCAGTGGGGGCAGGGAGCAAGGGCATCCCAGGGATGTGGAAAACGGGCTTGGGGCTGCATAAACAGCAATTTCCTTGCACTCATCCTGTTGTCCTTTTTCTATCTCTGATGGATCACTGGTGTTGGGAGTGGGAGAACATGTTCCTTTAAGTGCCAAGGAAAACTACAGTTCCTTAGGACTCTTGTTGGTTCTGCTTCAGAGTCTCAATCCCCAGCTGTTTTGTCACTTATGAATGGAGGCTGCCATCTAGTGGCCAGGGCCTGATTGGCAGCTTCCTGACCACTGCTGACTAACCACCAAGGTAGACAAGATGCGTTTAGGATTTCATCTTTTGTGTTCTTTTACAAATTAGCAGCCCCACATGGCTGCAAAGCAGCACTCTGGGAGAAGACCTCTACCCCTTTCCCCTTGTGGCCTTTGATGACCTGAATACCTCTCCCAAATACATCTGCACCATGTATTTAAAGCACATTTGTACCATCTTGAGAACTGTAGGTCATCCTCACAGAGGTGTAATTCCCAACACCCTTAAACAACCATTTCCCAGGATTCTCCAGGGGAAGTCATGAGCTTTAAATGTGTCATGTGGCAAAGTCTTCTCTGGACAGTGGGGAGAGAGAGGGTCCGTCTGTGTTTCCGCCTCCTTTACCCTGTGGGAGTGAAAAGCAGCTTCAGAGGATGATGGTGGTGATGATTACAATAAAAAAGCAGGGGAAGATTTAACAACCCCCACCCCATTGTGCCTCAGTCAGATTCCCCATTACACTCATGGGAAAGGGGCAGAGTATATTCTTTCGCCTGCAGAAGGTTCCAGATTCAATTCCTAGCATCTGCAGCTAAACACAGATGGAGAACCTCCTGCCCACCAGCGAGCCTGGTGGTTCCAGACTGGTCCAGGAAGCCATTTTTACTTAAACCACGTCCACCTGTCAGCCTGGTGATGTCAGTTCTGCTGGGTTGGCTGCAAGCATTGGCTCCTCCCATGGGAAATGGGTGCTCATAGCCAATCCCTGCAGAAAGCAGGATCGAAGGTCAGGTGTGCAAGGGAAGTTCCCTTTAGGAACTTGTGTACCTGGAGCCTTCAGAAAGCAGGCTTGCTTCCCTGCCCCATGGGCCAACTTTGACTCATCTATTTAACAGCTGGGTAATCCATCCACCTGTCAATGTTGGACCATGGGATGGAGGGGGGAGTTAAAGATATGGCCAAAAAGATAAGGGAGGAGGTGACAATAGATCAGTGGTCTGACTTTGCATGAAGCAGCACAGTGCTGCTCTTTGCATTTTTTTCTTAAGTGGAAGACCATTATGTTCCCTCACATAATGTACAATTTCCCACCTCTTTGCTTTGGCATTGATGTTCTCCCACTTGTCTGCCCCCAAGAGCCCAAGTTCATTGATGTTTTCTGGATCCCGGAGAGTGAGAATCCTGATGACGACAAGATCTTCTTTTTCTTCCGGGAGACAGCAGTGGAAGGAGCCCAGGGACTGGGCAAGCAGACCTTCACCCGCATAGGCCAGATTTGCCGGGTGAGAGCTCTGTGCTTCTCGAGTCCAGTGCTAAGGATTGGGCAAGGTCTGGTCATGTTGCCACCAGTCAGGCAGGTTAGGGCAGGTATCTGGGTGCCAGCCCAACACTTGGGCTGAGTGGCGGCCCAGTTTCAGCGTACATCCATGTGCCTGCTTGTATGAGAGAGCTGCTCTCTCAGCTCTGCCTCTGCCCTGTGGCAAAGCATTAGGGTCCACCCCATTCTTAGGGCTTCCTGCACTTCAGCTTATTGAGCCCCTTGCTGAGCCTTAGGCCAGTTCTCCATGTGGATCTTGCTCTGTGGAGGTGGACAGCAGCTACTGGGCAGCTGAACTGGGACACTGGCTGGAAGGAGTCTGTTATGGCAGGAGTGGGGCTCTAGCAGCAGTGAGGGAAAAGGGTTTTTGGGGCAGAGGTCTAGGGCCCCATTCAGCAGAATGAGCAGGGGGGCAAGTGTAGTGAGGCATTTCGAAGTAAGTGAACTAATACACATTATCATCTAAGAGGGTTCTCACCCACAAGACCATGGGGGAAATCCGGAGTCTAAAATGTCCTACGTGCACTGCTGTCCCAGGCTACCTCTCTGATAAGCCTCTCTTCCTCTCTCTGCAGAATGACATGGGTGGGCAGAGGAGCCTGGTGAACAAATGGACAACATTTCTGAAGGCCCGGCTGGTGTGCTCGGTGCCCGGCAGCGATGGGAGTGATACGTACTTTGACCAGCTCCGTGAGTGACTGTGGCTGATTGAGGTCTGGTCTGGCAGGGGGAGGGGGCGGCGTAGATAAGTGGCAGAACACAGGCATTTTGCACGCAGAAGGTCCCAGGTTCAGTCCCCAGCATCTCCAGGTGGGACTGGGAGAGACTCCTACCTGAAACTGGAGATCCACCTTGACAGAGAAAACTGTGCAAAAGCTACATGTTCTAGAATGTAGAAAGTGATGCATTTACCCACATACATGCACATAGGCAGTCAAAACATGGACAGTTTTAAAAACACATGACTTTGAAGAAATAGCTTGTGATTATTATAATATTTTCTATGAAGACATTACGTTGTTCAAATCCTAAGCAACCATTCATATTCTAAAGCAAAACAGATTTCCACATTTTTAGTTACATTTTTTGTCCCATGCATTTATATCTTCCAAATCTCAACCAAAGAACATCATTTCGTTTGAAAAGTGCCAGTTTGCAATCCAGCTTTGTAGAATTAGGCGTAGGTTGCTTTTTGACCCATTGCAGCCAAATCCCAAGTTTTAACACCTGATGGACTTGTGCCCTTATATACATGTTTTTCATATTTTATACATTTGGATAAAAAATGCACATGAATTGTTTTGAATGTTCTTAATGTATCCACATTGGGCTCCTCCAGACTGGTTTGGGTTTCTTTGGAGTTGTATGCTGCAACGTATGTAATACACTAGTCCCAGGTCAGGTTACAATAATGCGATTATGGCACAACAAAAGCCAGACAACTCCCCACCCACCAATTTCAGCAGGAAGCTCTGGTACCTGTACCCATTGGAAATGTCCATCTTGAAATGTTTGCAGGTGCAAACGGTATTGAAAGCGGAATCATGTAGAACTGCCCTGATGCCAATGTGAGCAAAGCGCATCATAAATGCAAACTAGAAAGGGCTTTTGGGGGAGCTCCATTGTGTGATGGCTAAATAGATAAACAAAACAAATCTGAACTGCTGTCCTTAGAGGACAACAATAGTATTTATTTATTTATTTATTTAGGCAGGCATGCATGCAACTTGCGGTGTTCTGTTCTGTTTTGTTTAATTGGTGTTAGTGCCTGATCACTGCCAGTGTGTCAGCAGAGAGCAGTGGTGGAGGCTTAATTTATCTCTCCCTATTGGGGGTGGGGGGAGGTTAGAGAAAGGTTCACTTTCTAGCTAGAGTATTCTCCTGTGGCTGGGGAAGGGATTGCCATGCTCCAGGTGGAAGACTGCAGGCCAGTGACTCCTTTTCTCCTTCTCTCTCTTCCTTTGCTTGGTCTCTCTTCAGATGATGTATTTTTGCTGCCAACCAGAGACAAGCGCAACCCTTTGCTGTATGCTGTTTTCACCACCTCCAGGTAAGGATAATGGTGGTTTCCTCCACTTTCAGCCGGGTTTCCTTTTCCCAAGAGGCTGTAAAGGTAATGTCTGACCTTCTGGGAAATGTCCCCCCAGACATATTGGAGGGTGTGGGGTGGAGACACCATTCACCTGGTTATTCCTACCCTAATGCTTCTCTGTGGTCTGCTCCCACAGCACCGTCTTCAAGGGCTCTGCTGTCTGTGTCTACCATATGAGTGACATCCGCAGAGCCTTCTTGGGACCTTTTGCTCACAAGGAAGGGCCAAACTATCAGTGGGTATCCTACCAAGGCCGGGTCCCTTACCCCCGCCCAGGAATGGTACGTGCCTTGGACTTGGGGTGATGAAATGAAGCAAGGTTCAAACTACTTAGAAACCATTTGGCAGGCAAGCGGTATATAGAATTCAATAGTAATGATAATAATAAAAAATAACAAGGGTGCTTGTTGATGTAGAGATGTGGGAACACCCAGAACAATATGTTTGGAGAGCTCTTGGCTAGATGGAGAGAAGAGCGGGTTGAAATGAGGAAATGGGCTGGGGGAGGATGGGGATTTCTGGGCCAGGATTGTGGGGTACTGACAGTATTCTATGAAACTTCAGGGCTTCAGAAAACTAAGGAAATTAGGGCATTACCAGAGCTGCCTGGAAAGGTAGTGGGGGATTAAAGGTAGGGTGTGATTGGACTGGAAAGGGAGTTACGTGGGGTGCATGGAGGTCTGTGATGTGGTGTTTCTAGGAGTAGATGGTTTTTACATGCCTGGGCCTTCAACTCTGTCTCTCTCTCTCTTTCTCCCTCTCTGTCTCCCTCTCTCCTTCTCTCCCTCTCCCCTTCAGTGTCCCAGCAAAACCTTTGGCACATTTAGTTCCACCAAGGATTTCCCCGATGATGTGATTCAGTTTGCTCGCAACCACCCGTTAATGTACAACTCAGTGTTGCCACATGGCCAGCGACCCATCTTCCTGCAGACCAACGTGGGCTACACCTTCACCCGCATCGCAGTAGACCGAGTGGCTGCTGCTGACGGCCACTATGACGTCCTCTTCATTGGCACAGGTGTGTCTGCACGCCTCCCCTTCTGATATGCCTTCCAAGTTCCCTTCTGCTTCTTAAAACAGCATGCTAGGATGCCCACAGTTCAAGGGTCAAAATGTGCATTCTGGCGACCAACTCTAGGTAACCCTTAGCTCACTCCTTGTAGAGCACTCCCTCCAGATGTGTATGTAGGGCAGCAGTAAGGCACCTCAGGCCCTCTAGGTATCTCTACACAGCCCTCAGGACTTTTCCCTGGCCTACTTCTTGCCCTGCTTGAGTTCTTTTCCCTGACTGGAATATATCCTTGAGCGGTGATAATTTACAATAGAAGATGATGTGGCTACACAGGCATGGTTCAATTTAGGGCCTCCTTTGGCTGCTGTTAACTTTAAAATGTGTGTGCATACACACAGAGGAGATGCTGTTCATTGATCTCCCGCCTTGTTTCTAATTGCACAGTCACTGTGTGTAGTGAAACGTTATATGCTTTCAGCTAGAACCCTAGTCCTGTTGCCTTTGCCTCCCCCAATCCTGTTGGCCACATTCCCGCTTTCAGCTGGTGCACTGAAAGCTTTGATTTAGCATAAGATCAAAGGAGACTGGAAACAAGATCCCTAAAGGGACCAGCTTAAGTGCCCCAAATCCTTGGAAACTTGGCACATTTTGTTGACCTCATCTCTTTTGTATGAACCAAATTGCCTGGCTTTCAGCTCTTCTTGCATGGCGTCTCTGTGGCTTTGAGAAATCTTTCCAGGGGGAGGCAAATAACAGTTCTACAGAGCTACCTTTGGAACTTGGGAAGCATCTGCCTGCCCGCCTGCAAATCCCCCTTTTGTTGTGCTAAATTGTCCCACTTGCCTGGCAGACATTGGCACTGTCCTGAAGGTCGTCTCTGTGCCCAAGGAGAGCTGGCAAAACATGGAGGAGCTGCTGCTGGAGGAGCTGCAGGTGTTTAAGGTGAGTGTGAGCGAAAGGGGAAGGCTGCCTTAGCTGAAGCCAAGCACAACTGTGCAATGAAAGGACTGTGATGTCCACTCAGGGGCTCCATCTGGCCTAAACATTTCAGAGTTTTCCCTGAATGCTACAGAAGCTTAGAATGTGATTTGGCACTCATGTCCTGCTTGCAGGTTTCCTGTAGTTTGGCCACTGTGAGAACAGGATGCTGGACTAGGTGGGCCTTTGCTCTGACCCAGTAGGGTTCTTCTTATGCCCGTCTTGTATAAAACTCTGATGGTGGCCACAGTCTTCAGGGCTTCACTTGAGAAACAGAGACAGTAACCTGGGTGCCGTGGGAAAGTGCTTGGATTCCTGATTGCATAGGAGCAATCCTTAAGAAGAAGAACTGGGATACTGATTGCCTGTCACCAACTCGGTCACACCGCAATTCCTTTTTCTCATTGGCAGGACTCCTCTCCAGTTACAAGCATGCAGATCTCCTCCAAGCGGGTACGTCGTGCAGCAGAAGAGCTTTGGGGGAGCCATGGCGTGGGAATGTGAAGAGGGAGGCAATGCAGAGATGACTTCTGCATTACAGTTGGGGAGAGAGCTCAGCAGTGGGAGATTATCTGAACAGAGCCTGGTATTCATACAGATAGATGCTTCCAAGTAAGAGAGTCTATCAGAGGTCCTCTGATGATGAGGCTGTCCCACCTCCTTCAAGACACCCTGTCCCATCCATCTGCCCTGTGGTTGGTTTAAGTAGGGTTGCCACATGTCCAGATTTTCCCAGACATATCCGGAATACTGCAGTCGGCAGCAGTGTCCGGATGGAAATCGATAAAATGTCCAGGAAAATCTGAATATATGGCAGCCGATGTCAGCAGTGCTGCCGTTTTTCTATTTCAGTTCTCTTCCTTCCATCAACAAGTGTCAGGCCACTCTAGATTTCTCCATGGTCAAGCTAGCAGTTCTCATGCTTTTCCAGTGAGAGCTCTGGGCTTCTTTCTCTCTGGGAAAGCCTCATACCCACCTCTTTTGGACTGTGGTGTCAGAGAGGCCAGAATCAGGTGTAATACTAAGGCAAGCAGCAGAAGACATTGACTTGGCCTTAATAGGACTGTGTGGCTTTGTCTCCTAACAGCAACAGCTCTACATTGGCTCCAGGACTTCTGTTTCCCAGCTGCCCTTGCACCGCTGTGGGATCTATGGCAAAGCTTGTGCTGAATGCTGCCTGGCTAGAGATCCATACTGTGCCTGGGATGGGACTACCTGCACTCGCTACATGCACAACACCAAAAGGTATGGTATGACTGCGGGGCTTTCTTGAGGGCAGAGTGGGGCAGAGAGTGATAATGGAGCCTGCCTGTTGTCTCTTGGGCCACCTACCCTCTTGCTGCCAGCCAGCTGTGATCTGGTTTGGTGGGAGATTTCCCCCCCCATCTCTTGTTGGCTTGCCTCGAGCAGTGCCCAAAGGGACACAGACCTACATCCTGACAGCATCCCCGTATGCAGTCTTGGCATGGCCACTGTCCACTCTTGCCTGCTTAAGAGCCTGCTTCTCCTCTGAGGCCATAGGACAGATGCTGCTGATACCAAGATGTGGGAAGGAAATAGCTCCCGGCCACTACATTCAGCTGGATCTGTCTATCCAGGAGCGGTACTCTCCAGGTTGCCCAGGATGTGCACTGTAGGATGTCAGTTCTAAGATGTTGTGACTAGAACCCAAGCAGGACAAGAGCAATCTTGCTACACAGCCCCTCTGAGGAGAACATTTGTCTCCAGGGAAGCCACACATCCCAGCCCACCTCAAAAGTAACTGTATTTTTCGCTCTATAGGACGCACTGGACCATAGGACGCACCGGACCATAGGAGGGGGAGAACAGGGGGAAAAATTATCCCCCTCTCTGCTTAGCGCCCCTTCAGCGAAGCAGCAGGAGAAACGGAGCCCCTTCCATTTCTCCTCCCGCTTTGCTGAAGGGGCGCTGTGCAGCTCTCCCTCTCTGCTGAAGCCAGGAGAGTCTTGCTCTCCCGGCTTCAACAAAAGGAACCCAAAGCCTTCGGAGCACAGCGTGAGCAAAAGGAACCCAAAGCCTTCGGAGCACAGTGGAGAGCGAGACGGGTCGGTGCGCACAGACCCCTCTCGCTCTCCAGGCTTCAGCGAAAGCTACGCGAAGCCTCTGGAGCGCGGAGGGAGCGCTCCCTCTGCGCTTCGGAGGCTTTGCGTTGCTATCGCTGAAGCCAAGTAGCCTGCATTCGCTCCATAGGACGCACACACATTTCCCCTTAATTTTTGGAGGGGAAAAAGTACGTCCTATAGAGCGAAAAATACGGTACAACACACACTGCTTTTGATCCTGATCAACCTTTCTGTGCTCTCTCACTCTCCCTCTTCTTGCAGGCGGTTCCGGCGTCAGGATGTGCGAAATGGGGATCCCAATGTGCTCTGCTTTGGAGGTGAGTGCACTTGGACCCTACACTCTGCATCATTCATGCCCAATTTGGTGTGTCCACCATCACCAACAATGTAAGACGTAGCATGGCCTCAGGCTACTGCACTGAATTAGTTCTAGATGCAGTGGAACGTGTGCCTTCCCACCCTCAGCACATATGCACGCATGTACTCTCTTCTCTCACACCTGGCGTACAATACTGAATGCCAGAACCAGAGGAGCACTGAGAAAACATGAATTCTGCTCAGTGCCCTACTATCCTGTCCCCACGATTAAAAAAGAAAAAGAAACGGCGCACTCAGCAGCAAGTGTTCCTCAACTTTCAAATTACTGCATGGAAAGGGAATTGGACCCTAGAAGAAACTAAATTCACACTCATTCATTTATCCAAAATACACTGAGCACAGCTGCACATACAATCTTTCTTTCATTACAACTGTCTTCAGAGCTTAGTTGCTCACTTAAGAATAGATTCTGTTAAATATAGCCAGGACAGCATCCTGGATCCATAGATTGTTCCCTCAAAACGCACCCCATTTTGTAGCCAGCTTGGACTTCTGTTTAGATTTCTTCATGCCTTGCTTCAGCTCTGGCCTCAGCACATCCCTGTGTGTTCGTTGTCCTGCCCATATCTCTGTGCTGAGATTAACAGATGACCGTATTGAGCTCTCACAACTTCTGTGCAGATCCCCAGCGAAGCAGCGTCCCAGAAAAGAAGTTATATGGAGTGGAAGGCAGCAGCGCTTTCCTGGAGTGCCTCCCTAAGTCACTGCAGGCCCAGGTTGTGTGGACGTACCAGAAAAGCAGCAGCGCCCCCCGGAAGGAGGTAGGAGCTTGGCTGCTGTGTGCACCTAGACCAGGGGCACCAAACGTTTTAGGCCAGTAGGCACATTTTGAATTTGGTTGTGGGTTCCAGTCACAAAACAGCTGCTGCCATTGATGGCAAAAGACATGCACATTGCCACTGCCACACACAATCACATAGAGAAGCTCTTTGTACTTCTCCTCTGTTCAGAGTGGAAGGAAGGGTGTCCTATCCTGGCATCCAACGAAAGGTGCCTGCCCATGTTTAAGAGGCGTATTCCACGTAGGAGTGGCTGAGCCAGTGCAAACAGGAACTAAGCAGGGAAAAACAAACAGCCTCTCATGCATTGTGGAATTTTGAGCAGATCTTTGCCGAAAACTTTCGCGGGTATCATAGGAGGGTACCATCAGGAACACCCTGGCACCTGGGAGTGCTATGTTGGTGACCCCTGATACAGAAATATAAGAGAGAATGAGAAACAAAGCTGGCAGAATCTAGAGTGGCTGGGGAAACCCAGCCAGATGGGTGGGGTAGAAATATTAAAATTATTATTAGTAGTAGTAGTAGTAGTTTTACTTTCTCAAGCTACCTCAGCCTCCCTTTGGTTCTAAACCTCCTGGTATCATAAGTATCTTTTTTGCCTCTGTGATTCTATGAATTCTGTAATCATTCAATCAATCAGTTAATTAATAAGGCAGGCACGCTGGCCTCCACTTCTGCACATTCCCTTCAGCAGATTCTTCCTCCTTCAGTGCAGGCCCCACTGCTTATAGCAGGGACCTGTCTCCAAGCAGATACCTAGGATTTGTTTAATTAATTTATTTAACCATTTATATGCCTGTAAAGGTAAAGGTAAAGGTACCCCTGCCCGTACGGGCCAGTCGTGTCTGACTCTAGGGTTGTGCGCCCATCTCACTTAAGAGGCCGGGAGCCAGCGCTGTCCGGAGACACTTCCGGGTCACGTGGTCAGCGTGACGAAGCTGCCGCTGGTGAGCTAGCACCAGCGCCGCACACGGAAACGCCGTTTACCTTCCCGCTAGAAAGCGGTACCTATTTATCTACTTGCACTTAGGGGTGCTTTTGAACTGCTAGGTGGGCAGGAGCTGGGACCGAAAGACAGGAGCTCACCCCGCCGCGGGGATTCGAACCGCCGACCATGCGATCGGCAAGCCCTAGGCGCTGAGGTTTTACCCACAGCGCCACCCGCGTCCATTATATACCTGTGGATCACAGTAAAACATCAGCCCTGACCACTGGTCCTGTTAGCTAGGGATGATGGGAGTTGTAGTCCCAAAACATCTGGAGGGCCAAGTTTGGCCATGCCTGCAAGTGGTTTGCAAGAAATATTTTAATTATCAGAGAGTTTTGAAACAATTACAAACATTTAAAAACAGTTAGAATTAACATTAAAGGCAATTAAAATATGCAAGCATCTGTGTGTCTTACTGTTGATGGGGCCATCCTCCCTTCTGGTTCTTGAATCATTATTCCTGCCTGTCCCATCTCAATTCCTCACCCCTACTGATGACCTCTCACCAATGCTATCCCTTTTCTCTGGCCTTACTAACCTGCAGGTGCTGTTGGATGACCGGGTCATCAAGATGGAGCGGGGGATCCTGTTGCGCAACGTGCAGCGCAAAGATGCTGGCCTCTACCACTGCCACGCCACGGAGCACGGCTTTACCCAGAGTTTGCTGCACCTCCAGCTTGAAGTGATCCATGCCCAGCAAGCCGACTTGCTCTCCGTCTCCCGGGAAGAGGAGCCTGCGCAGCCCTTCCACCGCAAGCTCTGGTACCAAGATTTCTTGCAGCTGGTGGACCACCCCAACCTCAGTACCATGGACCAGGTATGTGAGCAGCTGTGGAGCCGCAAGAGCCACCAGCCGAAGAAGAAGCCGCCACTACCCCCTCCGCTCAGCGTCAAGGCCAAGAGCCACAAGTGGAAGCAACTGGAGGACAAGCGGAAAGGCCGCAGCCGGAGAACACACGAAGTGCCCCGTGCGGAGAGGGGGCCCCGGAGCACTGACATCTGGTGACCTGCATGGAGTGCAGCTGGACAACCAACCTCTATGCTGGGGAGCAGGGTGGGCGTGTAGGGAAAGGGGTGGGAGAGAGGATGCCGGACCATGGTTTGGTGGAGAGGGCTTCCTTTCCATCCTCCTGGCGGCCGCTTCATACGTAGTTTGTAGGGGGGGTGTTGTCATCATAGCAACTTAGCTGCCATTCTTCAGAACTTGGTGCGAAGCAACAGAACCCGACAGGAGAGGGTGGCTTCTGTAGCCCTCGCCTCTTCCGTAACATACAACCAAAGATGGTGGCAGCAGTCTCGAGGGACCAAAGGAACCAAGTTATTATGATATTCTGCGCAGTGGGAAGTAAACCAGACAGGATACGCCAGGAGTTGTGGTCCCCTTTTTCTTACCCTCAAGGATCTGCTGACTGTCAAGATGTAATTCTGGGGCTGAGGAGCCTTCTAGCTCTGGAGCGTCTGTTCATGCTCAGAATCTTCCTCTGAAGAGGACAGTCCCCCGACGCATCCCTCTGTCTTGATAGGCAGGGTGCCTACCCCGTTTCCTCTCGCTTCCATAACCAAACCAACTTGCCTTGTGCGCATAAGTGTAGCAATGTGCTCTCCCCCTCCAGAGACACTACAGAACCACTGATGTATTTATTAACAGATTGTTAACTGATGAATGTAAATCCACCACCAGGTGGCCCACCAGCATTTAGCCTCCCACTGAAGGGACAGGGCTCCTGTTGCCCAAAGGATTGTGGGTACACTTCTGAAATGTTTTGGATGTGCATGTGGCAATGATGATGGTAACAGAGATGAGGAACCGTGGCATATCTCCTACGTTCTCAGATCTATATTTTATATGGCCCTTAGGGGATTCTTCATCAGACTGAGACCCCCTCAAGTGGCAGGGCCGTAACAGAAAGGCAGTTAACACACTGGTAAAATATTGAAGTTGAGGCCCTGTCATGACACAAGGATGTTTGTAGGGTCATGTTGAGCAGTGGAGGTGTCTGTCTGTCCTTTCTTTGAAGGTTATTGCCAGAAGAATGATGGCCAACCAAGGTTTGTTCCCTGCTTTGGTCTGCTCTGGGGCCCAAGTCACCAGCCACAACCCATCAGGAGCAATATCTAAAAGAGTAGCCCAGACCTCCCCTTCTCAATCTGTTTTGGGCCATATCTTCCACCTTCTCTTGGCCATGTTGACTGGGGGTGATGGGAGTTGTAGTCTAAACCATTTGTAGGGCACCATCTTGGGAAAGCCTTGGCTAGACCAAATGAGGACACTCATTTTGAATTCTTCATTTTGGGAGTGCCTTGTGAGGCACCTCTGTGGAGTGCCCAGAAAGGTGTAGTCATGCAGATGAAGCTCATCTGTCCCTTAGATATGCTGGGGAGGTGCTGATCTCTGTGTTGCTTCCTGTTCTGTAGAAAAACAGGAGGTTTCAGTCTGAAGGGAGGTGGAGGTGTTGGCCTGATAGAGGTAATGCAGTCTTGTCTTGGATTATGATTTGGGCGGCAAGGGTCTGAGATAGATAGATCTGCTCTGATTTAAGATATATAAGCTGTTTCTGTGGTGTCTGAAACATTAGAAAGGGGTGATATCAGCACTACCTAGTCAAGCTGAAAGTCGCTGTCCAATGAAACAGAAAGTGAGACTGGAGCCCACCATCTTCAAGAACAGAGTAGAACCAATGGTTAGTTATTAAATTCACAGTTCACATCCAGTAAAAGGAAACCTGGCTTACAGAGTTCTCAACAGCCTGTTCTGTACCATTTTTTTAGTGCAAACTGCCCCTAAATGGTCCTGCCAGTGAGGAATTTTACAGCTTCTTTAAAAAAAAATCATTGTTTTGCCTTTTATTTCCCTTTACTTTTAGAGTAGCCTACTGCCATGGCACCAGGTTGTCCCTTTTGCCTATGTAGGGTAAAAACTTTCTCTATAATACATGGACGTTAGAACTAATCAGAGATATTTTACAAATAGATTCTGCTACATTGTCATTCTACTTAGGGTTGCCATATGTCCTCCTTTTCCAGGAAACATCCTCTTTTTCATGGCTGTGTAAAATGAGTGTCGTCACAGTGATCCATAGTTAAAAGGTGAAGTCGGCAAATGTGTCCTCTTTTTTGCTCTTCAGAATATGGCAGCCCTATCTACACCTCCCTCCCCACTTTACCAGGCAAAATTGCTGATTTAAATTGGAACCAATATCCCACATGTACAGGTCTTTTAAGGTTGTTTTAAGAACACTTTTTGCAGTATTGTAAGCTACACCACAGACTGTGTGGAGCTGTGTGGTGAGGGATAAATGGCAAAGGAGAAGCAAATCAAGCTTATCACATGATTCCAGAGTCTTTGGTCTACCCAAAAATGGACTTGGAAATGTAGTTTTCAGAGAGCGCAGAGAAAATGACAATTCCTGGCATGCCTGGCACCAGGCTCAGAGTGATAGCAGCACCAATACCATGTGCTGAAGGAAGGAGGAGAGACCTACCCCCCTCGTCACTACCAGAGCTGCAGAAGCAGCAGCGAGGTTGACACTTCTGTGAATGAGAGAATTTGAAGGCTCAGCCGGGGGATAGGTTAGGGGAGGGATTTGACCATGTTGGGCCTTCAGCTGGGAGCTGTCTGTGGACAAACGGCCTGAAAAGCGAGATGAACGCCACACCCCATAATCACCTTTGACCAGACTTAACCATCCAGGAGTCCTTTACCTTTTACCTCCCCCCCCCCAACTTAGGGTGTCTAAGTGTAGTCATAATAAGCTAGTAGCATAAGAACAGAAGAACAATCCTGCTGGATCAGGCCAGTAGCCCACCTAGTCCAGCATCCTTTTCTCACAGTGGCCCACCAAATGTCTGTGGGAAGTCTGCAAGTTGGACCTGAAATCAACAGCACTTTCCCCATTTGTTATGCAGTGGGGGCAGCTACTTTTAAACCTAGATTATTTCCCTAGTTAAAAGCATCAATCACCATCCTGAAACACTGTGGATGAAACCCAGCTATTTGGCAGGTATAACTTTTTGTTCCCCACTCCTTCCATTTGTTTCCTCTCTTCCCGTGTCTGGGAGGAAAAGATATATTGATCATGAAAACCCCCATTTGGAACCTCAGCATTTTGGCCATTAAGGTTTCCATACTGAAGAAAGAGGCATCGGACTAACGTCCTTGGCAACTAATTATTGTTTTACCTTATGTATCTTATCTGTTGAACCTATGATAAATTCTAAAGGAAATAGTAGCAGCGAAAATAAGTGTGCAGAGTTGCTGGACGCTAGGCATAGATGTCAGCCAAGGTGGCCTGTGGTGAGTTAACCCAGCCTCAATAGCGACTGGGTCTACTTTTAAGACATGCAGCAAGAGTGCTGGATCCAGTGTGGTTGGAATATATTAACACAATAAAGCAGTTTTAACTTTGTGTGTCGGGTTTCCATAACATGGAAGTGATCACTGCATACATTTTTAGGTGCTTGCAGAACATCACCTGTTGTCCTCACTCTAGAAACAGAGCAATGATTCTGGAGGCAGACCAAAACCCCTTCTTCATTTATGGTTCCAGAACAGCAATGTACCATAGGCATGGTTTCATCAAGCTATCACCTAGGGGTCATGGAAATTAGGCCAGCTGTCATGTATTACTTAGGTGAAGCCTAGGCCATGATAGCTTGTGCCATAATACATGTAGAAGTATTTAAGGTCTCCTGCTTCGCTTGCTAAATTTCTGCCTATCAGGTCATTGCCAGGAACAGGGCCTCGCTCCTGTACCTTTGCCAGCAGTCTGGAAAGCAGAAATTTAGCAGGTAAATCGGAGAGAAAGTAATTGTAGAAAACATTATCTGCTTTATTTCTGCTTGGCAAGGCTGCAGGGGCAAGGCCAGCTGGGTCACATGACTGACAAAGGAGCAGTGCGCTCTGGGTAACATGCACAAGTTTTCTTTTTGGGTAATGCACGCAAGAAGGGTTTAGGATGGGATCTGGGGGAGCTCCTTACCTTTCCCCATGGTGTCTTCAGCTGAATGGCAGCCTTAAGTGTCTGGACAGGTTTGTAGTTTCCCTCAGCGGGAGGGGGGGGGAGAAGGGAAGTGGGGAGATGACTTGAGAACAGTGGAATATTGCTACCCCATTAATTAGCAGGTTAGGCCCCTAAAACAATGATGGCAATGTGTGACATTTTCAAGAATGCAGTCAGTGGGGTCCTGAGGGCCAGGTAGAGAGGGCTGCGGGGGGGAGGCAAAGGTTCTGCCCCCTCTGGCTTTAAATTAAGTCATAACAGCAATTTATCTAGAGTTTAAAAGATTGGAGTTTTCATTCTTCCAGCACCATCTCAGCTGTGAGAACTTGTTGCCATTTATTTACCGGTAATTTGATCTTGAGATTGCCAAACTCTAATTGGATGATCATGTTATATATACATTTTGAACAAAGTTTTTTTTTTCCCCCCTTCCCATGGTCACAAATTTTAGATCATCCTCTCATTATATTAGTTTCATGTAGTTCAACAGCACGGCTCTCAAAAGTCTTACTTTTGAATGCTTACACAGCTCTTCAGTCTCGACCATGACCATTGCCAAGTAAGCTTTGTTCCATCTCAGGATCATATGAAGCTGTTTTCCTTTCTTGGATCAACTGTTAAAATCTTTCTGGAGGACTAAGAGTCTGTCGCAGGTCTTGCCAACCTTTTGGGGTCAGTGGGCGCATTTGGAAGTCGAGTGCCCATCACAAAATGGCTGCTGTGAGGCTGTGGGAAAACACAAAAGGGGGCCTCGTGAGGGTGCAGGAGAGGATGAGACAGTGCAAACAGGAACAGAATAGTAATAGCGAACAGTCTCACACACTGTGAATTTTTTAGGAAATATTTACTGAAACCTTTCATGGACGCCATAGGAGGCATTGGAGTGTGCACTGGCACCAGCAGGCCCTTTTTTGGGTACCTCTGGCTTGTTGTTTGGAATGTACCTGTTCATAGCCTCAGGTGATCACGTTCGCCAAAATCCTGCTCTCTCTCCCTATAGTCCAGCCTCAGGCTGTCAGGAATGAACCCTGGTCTACCCAAACAGCTCACCATATGGGAAAACTTATCTTGGGCTTCACAGTTAATTATTCCCAACAAAGCCATTGTCACGGACATTTCCTTTCTTTCTGACTTCAGTGTTTATTTCCTCCCATTCCTACACCCACCTGCCAGTGGAGGATAACACTTTCTCAGGTGAAGTCCATGAAAGTCTTATGCCATAGTAATTTTGCTAGTCTTTAGCACCAGCTAGCTTGTACCAGCCAGGAGAGGAGGGTGTGGAGATTGCCTTTTTTTTCTTGGTAGATCTTTCTGTCTCTAAATCCCCCCCAGCAATTCTTGTGGGGGAGGGGGAGGGGGATTAGTTATGTCAACTCCAGGCTTGCATGATGGTGGGAGATCCTGATCCTGGGGCCATTCTGAGAAACGAAGAAGACAAAGATCTGGGCAATCCAGGACCACATCTGTCCCACCCTCAGAAAACTTCATTTTGTGGCCTAAAGAACCACCCATGATAGAGCTGTTTCCATTGAGCTGTCCTTAAGGAGGCACCTTGCGGTCCTCCATGAAGCTCCCCTCAGCCAGTGGATCTGGGGGATAGGATTGTGCTGTCTCATCCCTCAACCTTAGCTCACCCATTTTTAAATACACAAATAAATTGGGTGGCCTACAGTACAGGGTAATGATTCCTGAGCTCATCATGTGAAGTGCTTTAAGCAAGGAACATTACTCTATAAAATATTATGGCAGGAAATTGGTATGGAATACATTTGGCTTCTTCCAGTTCCCTGAAATCAAAAGGGAAGATTATGCTGCTGGTAACTCCTGCTTCTTCTTCTGTGAAACAGAGGCTTTTATTAGCTTTGTAAGTGTCAAAATGATGAGCAGTATAAGTGATAGTTTGCCTGTGAAAGTGTCTATGAAAGTACAAGTCATTCATGCTTACAAAATAAACAGCTGAGTTGACTGGAAGCAGCCACTAGGAGGCATAAAAGCACTATGGTCATGTTATAAATCCCTATTTTATTCTATTATATCTTTATTTTCATTTTTATTTAAACTGCTTAATACTTTGAGAATGTAGCTGCCATAGTAGAACTGCTATGTGAAGAATGCATGTGAAGAAAGCAATTTTAGGATAGCAAAATATTGTGGCACAAATCTTTCAATGACTAGGATGGAGGTTTAGTCATGCTGGCCATATGACCTGGAAAGCTGTCTGTGGACAAACACTGGCTCCCTCAGCCTGAAGTGCCAGAAGTGAGACTGGACTTAACCGGCCAGGGGGTCCTTTACCTTTTGATTTTATTTTATTTTATATTTACACACACACACACACACACACACACACACACACACACACTCCCACCCAGTGTCACATACAGAAGATATTTATGTGGTTTTATTTATCATTTAGTCTAAGCCCACAAGAGAAAAATATTTTCTAATAGGTAGCAACTACAAGATAATTAACTGCCACAAAATTAATATTCATATTACTGCTTGTATAATAATAATAATAATAATTTTTTAAAAAATTATTTGTATCCCACTCTTCCCAGCCAAAGCCAGGCTCAGAGCGGCTAACATCATATAAATAAGACAATATGCATAATACAGTATACAATATACAAATAAAATAACATTCAACATTCATTAAAACAATATAGAATAATATTAAATATCAGCATTTCAAAATTAAACAGAAATCCACTCAACAGTAACAATAAGTAATTTCTAAACTCCAATCAATAAAACAACAGCAAACCACAGTACTCAAATTAATACAATACAAAATGAGAAGCAGAGACTGGAGGGTGGAGCAAGGCAGATGGAAGGAGGCCTTGCCTGATGAAGTCTCTCCCCTCACAGTTCTTCCTCCAGGCATAGCTTCCTTATGAGGAGACCCAGGGCCGGAGGGTGGGCAAGGCAGGTGGAAGGAGGCCTTGCCTGATGAAGTCTCTCCCCTCACAGCATGAAGAAAAATGAAAGTTTACTTTATCCTTAGTACACAAAATGTATATATTTTTAATCATTTCAAGATAAGGCAGGATTGCCAAGACATGAAGGTGGGCTGAGGGGCTGGTATTACAGTAAATCAAGTGCTGTCTGCCTGTGTGTGCATACCTGCATAACCTGTAAATACAGGTAAATATATGTTATGTAAATGCCCAGGCTACATGGTCCTTTATCAGGGATGCTGTAGTTTCCTGCAGGAGATTGGACTATTTGAAGCTCCTTTCAACACCATGAAATACATATATACACAGCTTCCATAAGTCTCCAGTGCTTTCTTCTACAACAGGAAACTCACCTTTGAAAAACCCATGCCAAAACTGGCCAGTGCTCAGTGCTCAGGCAGATGGGGAGCTGTAGTCCAGCAACATCTGGAGGGCCACAGGTCTCCTCATCCCACAACTAAGGGCTCCTTGGTTATGTGTTATTGGAAAGCTGTGGCTGTTACAACCTGTAGTTAGCTGCTTTAGAAATAATGCAGTTGAAAGACTGGGTATAAATATTCGAAAACAAACAAATCCAAAGCGCAGGAAAAGGAACCTTTGGTTCTCACCTGAAAGGTGTTTCTTGAGGTGTTGAACATACAGCATGGGTTTTTTGGATGGTGCTGCTCTCTTGTGGCTGAAGATAGGAAACACAGACTGGTCTTTGTTCTTTATACATGCCTACCACCTCTGTTGAATGACAAGCTGCAGGAATGGGCTAAATAACTTTGAACTCGCTCATGGAGAATGGTGCTAATGCGAACAACATTGAACTGAAGGAATAACACAACGGATCCCTGAAGAGCAGGAAAACATGTATAAAATAGAACAGTCTTCCTCAACCAAGTGCCCTGTCCATATTTTGGACTACAACCTCCATCACCCTCTGCTAGCTAGAGCTGGTAGGAGTCGGAAGACCAAAACACCAGGAGGGCACCATGTTGGGGGATGCAGAAATAGTGTGATGGAGGAAAGCACACACTGATTATTCACTCGTGTATCATGCACTTCCAACATTCATTGTCTATGCCATTTCCTGGCAGCTATTAAGAGATCTAGAAATTGTAAACCTAAAGAATTTGAGGTAAGCAAGTTCCCTCCCCCCAAAAAGCAGTGCAGATGGCTAATTAAAAGTGCTTACATTTAAATTACAACACTTAACAGAATCTGCTTGGATGATCGTTGAACTGAAAAAGTGCTTTCATACGGAATTGTTACACATACTACTCAATAATAAGCTGGAGGTTTTATTTCAGACAGTTAAATACAGCTATGGTGTTTTATGCTCTGTATAAAATGAGCCGAGTGCTGGGCTGCTCTTGGAAGGTAATTTCAATGTTTTATAAAAGGAGACTGGTGGTGTAGATTTTTTAAAGGGTATGAGATCTTATCAGATTAGCAATTAAC